GGGTACACGCCCACTTGAAGTTTTAAAATTCGATGTTTTTGATCAATTTTGTATTGCAATATTCCAAGAAATAAAAGCTTCTTCTCGTGTTAAAGGAAAACAGTAGGATAAACAGACGGAACTGTCTAAAAGATAAGCAGAATAAGCTCCAGATATCTTTCATGACGGATGAATTTTTTTTGGTTCTGTAAGATATGGAAGGGTTACATGTTTTCAATTATACTTTAATTTAGTGCTCGACGATGCTTTTATGACAATTGCGTTCAATTTTCAATTAAAAGTATTATATGTCACCTCTGAGATGAAAATTTGGGAAGTCAGGCAAAATTAGAGCAAATTTTGGGAGGTGATACACGTGACGGTGGAAATTCGGGTTTAAGCATAACTATTAAGCTCAACGAGCTATATTTCCTAAGTCTCTACCTAATGAGAGTCAAAATAAAGGTTGGTTTGCCCAAAAATTCACAAAAAAATTTTGGGAGGAAATTGAACCTGGAATTTGACCCTTATTTGAATTCACCCCAGTACACATCTAACATTTCAGTTACATCTTTTTGAATGAAAAAAATGGCAACTTAGGAAGCACATAGGTCACTTATGATGCGTATTCGGGCATATGCGTAGAGTAAAAATATCATACTTTACGCCGAAAAAACGAAACTGAAAGTAAAATGCGTTAACTTCCGAAAACCATACATAATCCAACGAAAATAAATAATTGGTAAATAACAGCTTTCTTGTATGCAAAGAAAAAAAATTAAAAATGTTAAAAAAGAGATGTCGACACAAAATTACATAGCCCCTTCAATTCTGAAGATACTACAAACGAACTGTACCTTAACATTTTCATATCCCAGAAGCAAAAGTTCCCATGACGAATATTGCTATCGCTAGCGATTGCAAAAACCAACTTGTTTTTTTTTTTTTTTTTTTTTTTTTTTTTTTCCAAAAGTATTCGAGGGTCTTTTTTGGTGGAAAATAGTCATTTTAAGGATTAATTAATCTCTTAAACACTTTTCCAGCACAGCTTTCATTTCCCTTTCTTCTGTACTACTTTTCCTCTTTCTGCTCTTTTCTGCTCTTTCCTATCTCTCCCCCTTCCCTTCCCTTCCCTTCCCCTGTATTATTATTCCTTTTACATTCATCATTATTTTTCCCTGATTTGTGGTAGATCTGCTGAGTCTCGGAAACAGAGATAGAACGAATTATTTCTACAATCATATGATGGCGCTGGATTTCAACGGGACTGATATTTTAGTCGCACACAATCCGGTTGCAATACACTCGCCACCCATCTGCCTGAATCTTGCCTATAACCTCATTCTGAAGAATGCAGTCGGTAGGACTGTCTCGACACTGAATCATCCAATAAGTCTTATCAGAAGGGTAAGTTATTTTATCGATCAATCCTGTTCATTATGTCTCTCATTTTCCAAATGGAATTTTTGCAAGTAGCTACAATATCTTATTTCAATGTTTATAAGGTGTAAAAGTTCGTGGTAAGCATGAAAATTGCAATGATTAAGTCTAAAAACTTCGAAAGCTAACATATACAGGAATTTTCTTGAATTCAATGCAGATTTCTAAATTGCAGGGACGTCATTTGAGAGAGCAGAATGAGTCCAGATGTCCCCGACTTTCATGTTTAAATTGATTTTTTGAGGCCAGTTTAAATTAATTTGATCGAAACTTTAGCCTCTATTTATACCTACACCAATAAATGTTGCCCGTGCTGGAATTTGACTGACTCAATGCTTCTGCATTGTTTGAAAGAATGGGAATTTAAAAATGGATCCTCATTTTCTTAACGCGCGAATCAAAAGTACTTAAGATTTGGCGCAAAATTTGTACCAGTAGCTTAAGTGTTGTTCTAAGAAAAATGCCACGTGAACATATAGTTCTTTTTATTGCATATATTTTAGCTTATTCTGCAGTTCGCATCGACAATAACAATGTTTCAACTTGAAAAAGTTTACAATGCTACATTTCCTCACGTTAATTGGACCTTTTTTCAACACAGTGCAAAGAGATCACCGTATCTGTATACAATATTTTTTGTTTGTGCGTGCTTGCGTCCAAAATGAAACAATCAGTAATAATAACGAAAAATGTCACCTCTACTAATTCGTTTATGTATGTGCACCTTCTTCTCACTTAGGGAGAGGGGTTGCTGTCAGGCCCCATTCTCATTTGTGAAGAATTTAACAAATTGTTAAATACGAAAAATAAAAATAATAACGCCACATTTTTCTTCCACAGGATATTTGTAATGTGCGAGGTGACGCGGCTCTCCAGTACGTAATAATGCAAATTTTCACGTGGTTCCAATTTTATGGAACTGCTTTCCTCGTCTTGACCGGCTCGTTCACTGCCATGCCTGTCCTCGAGCGCACCAACAATTCCAAGCAGTTGCAGCTAATGACAGGCGCCTCCGCTGCCCTCTACTGGCTCACGATATTCATCGTAGACTTTTTCTACTTCATATTCATCACCGTCCTGTCCTTACTCATATTTGTCGCATGGAACAACTTAATATTCCAGGAATCCTGTGAGTTCTCGCTTTAAGCCTTGACATGTCGTCACCTTCCGGCCAAAGTATCACAAGCGCCATGCCACGATTACAAATTTCCGCTGCCATTTTATTTTTTTACAGAGAGGCTATTGGTTGAATCTGATTGAAAATTTCACTGGCTTTTATCGGCAGCACAAAGAAAATTCAGTGAAAGTTTTAGAAAGATTCAATCAACAATTTCTCTGTAAAAAAATAAAATGGCGGAAATTTTTAAACGTCGCATGGCACTTAAGATATTTTGGCCAGAAGGTGACGATGTATTGTCAATTGGTTTTTACTCTCACTCTTAGTGCCAATTGCATAACTACCAAAATGAAGGGGTGCTCAATTTCTCGCTCTTACATAGACCGTGTTGAACAGAGAGGAACCAAGCCACATTATTAGTTCAAAATTAACTAGGCAATTTAATTTTTTACAAGTGAGTGTTTCTGCGGATTCTTCTGAAAGTTTTAAGGAACTTGCTTTGCACTGTGTAAAAAATTCACCGTGATTTGCACAAAAATCCGCACAACTGTATTCATATAAAAAATTGAACTGCCCAATTAAATTTAGCAATAACTGAGGTGACTTGGTTCCATCCTACTCAACGCGGTCCAACTTGAATTGGATGCAAAAAAGGGTATTTCTTGGTTGGAGTATCCCAGGTGTATCTCAGTATATCTAGTGTGTAAAGAAGGCAATTGCTGCCTCTGTCCTCTTTATCTATTATGTTTTTTATGTGTTTATTTTTATTAACTTGTACGTTTGTTAACATTCGCTGTCTTGTTTTATTCCCACAGTAATTCTTTTCCTGATCACGGCGGTTGCTGGGATGAGTGGTATACTGTTTGCCTACGTTGTGGTGTACTATAAAAAGACATACGCTGGGGCATATTCATTTTACCTTAACCTGGGATTATTCCTTGGTAAGTGGAGGAAATTGGAGCAATTCTTCAATTAAGAATCATGCAATTGCAACGTGCACTACAGCGCAACCGCAAAAGTAGTCAGGCGTGTTCAAAGAGTCTTAGTTCTAACTTTTTTTTTGATAAAATAATACAACAGTAATAAGAAACTAAACATTCGTTACTACTTCGAGGTATTTTGTTTATTTAATTCGATATTCTTACCTATCATTTTAGGCGCGTATCTGCTAAACGGAACTAAGCGCCAATTTTAGTTCCTTTTGAGGATTTTAGAATCCCGATAGCGCGCTCTAGCTGTAAAGCGGAACTAACCACCAATGAAAAGCAGCGTGAGCCTACGACGGAATGAGCTCCGAGTTCCGCAGCACCCGACAATCCAACCCGAATCCCCCTTTTTCCCCCGTATGGCGCTTAGTTCCGTTTAGCAGCAATACGTCCATTTCTGAGTTATACCATTTTCAAGTATAACTTAATTTGACTCCAATATTTTGTTTTATGGAAAATGGCATTAACTTTTCTTATGGTTTCATTAACTCCAAAGTAGGCACTACCAAATATCCAGTAAGAAACGAGTAAAAGCTCTAGAATTGTGTACCTAAAATGATATTGACGATGATGACTGGATCGCCTCTAGACTTTCAGCTTTTCCCTTCGACTCCGTGCCCTATCAAAAAGATCATTGCTGTATTGCGACACATGCGTAAATTTAAAGGCGAGTGTAATTCAAAAGGCATAAGTGTATTGTATATGCGAGTAACTATACAACAGAAAAACCCGATTTTCTACTGTCATAATGGGATTTCAAAACAGGTGCCACTTCAGAAGTCAATTTCACGGTTTCTAAGAGTTAATTTATGATTTCAGGAACGTATGGATCTGTCATCATGTACGGTTTACTACAAGCAAACATTGCAATCAACGGCAAGTTGATAAATGGACCATGGCTGGACATTGCTGATGCTGTTTTGCGGCTTATACCTCAGTATTCTTTCATTATGTGCCTGGTGAGCTTTGCGGTAACCACCTACCAGAACGGACTCTGCAGGAAATGCGACATCCCAAATTGTAAAAGTAAGTCTATTAGCCTCTTCTCAGTTCTAACGATCACAAAATTGCCATTGCCTCGCAATGAAAAATTGCAAACAAAAAAAAACTTCTTTATTGTTTAGGACAAAATTTTACGGGGTGTGCAGGTTGCGATATCTATCGAACATATTTTAAACTAGTGCTTTCAGTCCACTGTGGTGTAATCCATTGTAGTATAATAAGTCCTACTAGAAGTATACTGTAAAAATAATGATATTTTGTTGCTTAATTGTGGAAACATTTGCTCAAAAGACTGCTCAGCATATATTTGCTCTCGAACAAACACCCTTTCATTGGTTTTTAATTCAATTTGAAACATTCCATCAAAAAAAGTGTGCTTAGTCAATTTTAGAAATGAATGACTGGTCATTTGCGGTCGCATGCTACATGTAATATTAAGTTTTACCTATACACACACCCACTTTACGTAAGAATCGAAAAACAATAATTTTAAACTCGAATGTATATCCCACTTCTTAAATTAGGTTATTTGAGATTTTCCTGTCCTTTTTCCTTCATCAAATGTAATTTTTGCTTTATTTTTATTTCCCCAGTCCGCGACTTCTTTGAAACCCCTGGAGCAGGTAACGGACTGACATACCACCTGAGTAGCCTTCTATTAGCGGGTATCCTGTACCTCGTAATTATCACTCTCGTGGAATCTGGTATTTTACAAAAGCTGTACAACCTTGCGTTCGTTTCAATCGTGGGAGCAGACCTTGAAGAAAACCGGCGGGCAGACGAAGATCCGGATATCCAAGAAGAGAGAGAGAGGGTTGACTCCGCCAGGAATCATCCAGGTATGAAAACTTAGATCCTGTCGTAGGACCTTTCTCCGTAAATCTCATTACTCTGGGTGCCGCCGCTACTTATTGCTCGCAGTGGCTCAAGCTGATCTAATGCTCTTTTCTAGTAGGAGGTCATTTTTGGCTGAAAACAAGTTTTCAAAGAGGCTGAATATGATTTTCAGTCTAACAAAAACCATTAATTAAATTGAAGAAATTTGTTTTTAAAACCCATCACGCGGATGAATTTAACTCAAATTTCGTCGTATTGGCTGATGACGTTACACCCAAATTTAGGCGACACTTATTAATGACATAATCCGTTACTAGATGATAATGTTTACATTTTAAATTATCGGCTCTGTTAAATATATATTCCCTGGCTAACGATTAGAATCAGACATTTTGTAAAACTCAAAGAACTACCAAATTTCACCTGTTTTAAAGATTTCTATAAATAATCTCGATTTCAAAGCGGACACATCAATAAATACACATTTTTTTCCTAATTGGCAAAGCAAATTTTTCGTTTTGTTCTTTAAGTACGGAAGTTAAATGGTAATACCGTAGTTCATGAAGCATCAATCAATTCTGTACTTGGTGCAGAACAAACAATCTTGTATTATTAATTTAATATGTAAAACCAGCTTTTATGTACATAATACATCAATCATTTCTTCACCAAAAATCAAAGAATTTCAATCTGAGATACACTTTAGACTGACTTCATACCAAAGCATTCCACAAAAAGTCTGAATCGACGATTACCTAGTGAATTTTATCGACGGTGAAACTGCAAAAATGCAAAATGGTTGTGGTCTTTCAAAATCTCTGCTCCTGTTCTATTCTTTCTACGATAGAACAGAACCAACATCGTAGCTTGAGGTTTTCACAGAATATTCCTTAAAAAGAGAAGGAAAATCACTGAAATTTTCAAAAAAGACGTTCATTGGTTCTTCACGTAGAAAATAAAAGATGACCAAAAGTCTGCAACGCTGCACAGTGGATCGAGTCAATAGGAGAGTCGGACAGAATTTGGAAACTCTAAACGCTTATAACTCACAAGACTTTAAGGCTCTAAAAGTGGTTTCATTGGTTTTCTCTTGAAATTTTCCTCTAGAAGCACCCCTTGAATTTTAAAATGTGATGAAATAAACATGAAAATTTGCAGTTTTAGTCAAAAATTATATGTCCGACCTCACTAATTGACTCGATCTATTGTGCGCCGCAACCGAGATACACATTTCTGCAGTTTCACCATCGATGTACGCTCCAGCAGCTGTGGTGATAAATCGGTTAAAAAATGTCATCCTTACACTAAGAAAAAAAAAAACAAAAGTTACAGTCCATACGGCCAAACGACCGTTCCGGGCTCAGAGAATACAATTTCCGGGTGCAGGAGCCGTACCTTCGATTGCTCCGGGTGCTACGCCCGGAACGCAGAAGGTATATATACAAGCCCGTAAGTACGGCTTCCACGGCCGGAGTTTTTTTTTTTTTTCAGTGTATGATTATGCTCTCGTTTACTTTTCAGAGCATACCTCAGAGCATGTGCTATTGGTGGAGCGGCTGGTGAAGAAGTTCTCGCGATCGTCGGTGGGGGTGCGCGGGGTGTCGTTCGGGGTGCGCGCCGGCGAGTGCTTCGGGTTGTTGGGCGTCAACGGGGCCGGCAAGACGACCACCTTCCGCATGCTCACAGGCGACACGCTCCCAACGGCCGGCGACTGCTCTGTCCACTCCGTCCGACTCTCCAGAGACGCCCGCCGCTACTTGGCCCAGATCGGCTACTGCCCCCAGGTCGACGGCATTAACGAGTACCTCACAGGCCGAGAGCACCTACGCCTCTTTGCTCACCTAAGAGGCATTCACAGGTCTGTAATAACTTCAAAGAGATATCGAAGTTTTTTTTTTACGCAGAAAACCGTAGGGGATGATGGGATCTCTTTCAGGTCACTTGGCGGCCTAATCCTCTTACCTTTAGCTAAACACTTTTTTGGGGGAAGGGGGTCCTAAGAATCAATTAAGACGTTGAAAGGCGAGGAATTGTCTGAAGATTTTTACCCGCCGGCAGCGTTTTGAAAGTTGCAGTTGGCCTGGTGTACCTATAGAAATATGTTTGATAAGACAGTGGAAAAGCAAAATTTTGGGAATCAGAACTGATGAAAATGCAAATCAAACGGGTTGACAAAATGCCAGATTCACACACATGCTGCTTGATGAATACAAGATGTTTGGAGGAAACATTTCCCTTTTGAAATTATTCCAAAGAACACGATAATATTAAATCGTCTGTTTCTGATACAAAGTAACTCATGCTTTTCATTAAATGGAGACAATTCTGTACCCAAGAAATCAATACGATGATTTTATGGAATTTACTCTATTGATTGATCAAAGATTTTAAATGAATAAAATGGGAAATATTAGCCAATTGGTACGGCTGAGAAAGATGAAAAGTCCACTCTCGATAGTTCGTAATTATTCCATAATTTAATCTGCCTTAAAAATAAAATGTGTCAGGAAGCGAATAAAAACAAGAGGTTTCCCTATGGACGGGATCTTGCGTTTATACTTACCGCGCGTGTGATTTTTTGTATTTTTCATTGTTACTTTTTCATGAATTCAATGTCCAATGTCCACCAGGTGTTGTCTCCTTAGTCCCGTGGGCAAATATTTATTACTATTTTTACTCGTGATTGATCCATATCCTCAGAGAAACCTGTTTCTCCGTGTCTTATGTGATAGTTAATTATCAAAATTTCTTACCTAGATCGCAAACAGATCAAGAAATCAAGAAATGGATGTCTGTGCTGGGACTGACAGAGTATTCAGAGAAGCTTGTAGGAGCCTATTCCGGTGGTAACAAGCGGAAAATGAGCACTGCTATGTCACTGATTGGCGATCCCAGCTTAGTCGTGCTTGACGAGCCAACCAGTGGTGTTGACCCGATTTCAAGAAGAAAACTCTGGGATATTTTGATCGAGGCAAGAAAAAGAGGTAAAAAAAAAGGAAATACCTATACATTATAGTTCATTTCACCATTTTCACCACTCATCAAGCTCTTACAGTTAGCAATTACATGGGATATTTATAGAAACCATTGAACAACTATTTTTGGGTGATCATTTTTTTAACGAGTGAGGTATGTGACTAGCTGATAACATACAAATTAAAAAAACAACACATAAGACACGGGTTTAATTAGGCTAAAATCGTCATAGTGAAGCACACTTATGGACAACATTAACTGACTTATATAGATTTTTCTTATTAAGTATGTTATGTGACTACGTGATAATATTAAAGGGGGAAAACCCGATCCGAATATATACATACAAATAGGCTGTCCCAAAAGAACTCAGACTGGAACTGTAACCGTTGAACTAAGACAGTTAGAAAAATGATCTTGGTTGCATTGGAAAGAACAGCTCATTTTCTATTGAATGACATCAAATTTATTTTAATAGCTTGAAAATTCGAAAAGGCATGAGGGTTTGAAAAAAAAAACCTTGGAACTTTTTTCTATACGCCTATTCTGTCGTGTTGTTCTTATCTTCAGTTGATAACAAGTGGTCGCTTTGAACTTCTAGATCATTTTATACACAAAAAGTACTTTTAAATTTTTTAATTGTTTTTCGAGCCTCTCGGCATTTTCTTCTATCCCCCATAGTTAATAATAGTGCTCTATCACCTAGCTATGCTTTTACTAATGCTGATTACTCCTTCGATTGCTCTGGTATGCAACAGGTCAAGCAATCGTGTTCACCTCCCACTCAATGGACGAATGCGAGACGCTCTGTGATCGGCTCACGATAATGGCCGCTGGCAAGCTTATGTGCATCGGAAACGTGGAGTACCTGAAACAGCGTTACGCACAAGGCTACACGATCCAGTTGAAACTGGGCAGCGCACCGCAATTAGAATTTGATGCCGTGAAGCGGGCGGTGGAACAAGCATTCGAAGGCGCTGTACTGAAGGATCAGCACGCTGGGTCACTCAGCTACCATATCACATCTCCCACGGTGGCGCTCTCTGAATTGTTCACTAAAATGCGAGAGATCAAAGAAACTATGAATATCGTCGAAGATTACCAAGTTTGTAATACGACGCTCGAGCAAGTTTTCCTGGCGTTTGCGAGAAGTGAGGCTAAAATTATTCAAGTTTAAGCTCACCTTGTTTACTCAAGAGGGAGTAGACACAGTCCCACACGCTTATAGTCGTGGACATGTGGAATACTCTACGCAGTAAAAATTGTTCTCGATCTAAAAGAAAAACGTCATTTCAGGCCTTAATTTTTTACTTCCATGAAAAAAATTAGAATATTTTTATAGTTTTATTCTTTTCTATGAGTAAGATTTTCTTAGACTGTATGACAGGGGATTTAAAATGAGGTAAAATGTGTGAACGTTCCCCTTTTTCTTGCACCGTATCTTCACCGGAAATCTGTGGCAAGGCTCCCAAGTTGGCAAGATTGTTTCTCACTCTCCCATTTAAATCTGTCAAAATAACAGATTTTAGTTCAGGCAGCCTACTTTGACAAATATAGATTAATTTATCCGCATTTAGGTAAATGACCAAAATCCTATGTTGCCAGTTTGCGAGAGTCGTCATTGTGTTTGGTAAGTTCGTCCGTCGAAGTAAAACGTTGATATAGTATCAAACATTATAAATAATGAAACATATTTCCAGTACTTCCAACTTCCATTCAAGTCAGGCGTTGTTATTTTAGGCAACTCGTTCCGTGCGATCAAGATAGTTCACCCTCGCATTTTGATGAATGCAACCTTTCAATATTTCAATCGCTTCAACTGTTTCTTCAAGCCGTATCAGTATTGTAGGTAAACAATTGTATTACATCTATGCTCCATAATCCTATTGAATTAAATCCATAGTCATAGTTCTCCTTAACTGGAAGATTTTGTCAGGGAGCACCTAGTTTTCAATTATGATTAAGGAAAGGTTGAGGAGGCTTTCGATATCGAATGAAATAAATGACACAATTTTAATCTGATTGAAGAATATTCAACTGTTTTATCCCGCAAATGGGCCATTGCAAGGATACCAAGGATTTCCCATCGGATGGATTTAAAGTTTGTACATCAATCAAAATTCTATACTTTCGACTCATTTTAAAATAGCATTAGACTCGCCTTCTTTAATGCAATCGCAATATCTTTATTGATAAAAATGTCTCTGAAGTCACGAAGCATTGATATCTTTTGTATACATCCATTTCAGAGGCAATTAGGCTGAATTTTACCAAGATTTCTTCAAGATTAGCCTAGGTCCGAAGAAATATATTGTCGTAATGACCAATTCGATGACATGAAACATGTTTTTATGAAAAATTCATGTTTTAATGAAAACCTGAATAAAACTAAGTGTACTGACAAACACACAAAAATATCTACTTGCGTGTCAATTTATAACCATTGTTAATAATTTAAATGCCTCAAGGATTTAAATATTGTGTGAACTGAGTGTAATATATCTTCCATGTCTTTCATTTTTTTCATTCAGTTATCCTCCAAAACTTAAAAAAAGTATAAGTAAATGATTTTTCGATGTGTTTTATACATATTTTTGAAATAAGATTAATATAAGTGTGTTTACATAATATTTTCTTTTATTTTTCTATGGATTCCTTTAAAAATAATGTTAAAAACAGGGTCAGGGCCGGATTTACCTACTTGCCGCCCATGGGCCGCCTGTATTTTGCCGCCCACTTCTCATTTTTTTTGAAACATCAATAAAAAAACATCAAGTGAACGTGACGGAGGGGCTGGGTTCGTAAGACGCGTTTACCTACTCGTGTTGAATACATTTTTTGCGGAAGTTCTGTCAACACTACTAGCAAAATTTCCCGGAACTTTGCGCGAAAGTTGAGTTCCGTAAACATATCTCTGTGTGAACAAGGTCCTCCATTTATAAGAAATGAACCAAAAAATTGAAAGAACAAACATAAATGTGGTTTAATAATTATAACTTCCGCCGTCGCTGCACCGGGCTGATCGCACAGTGTAGCGCAATGCGTGAAGTATTCCTGCAGTCTTGTAGGCGCTACCCGTTTCACGCCAACCGCTCCTGACCGCACTGTGTTTGACGCATTGGGTGAAGTATTTATGCAGTCTTGTAGGCGCTAATATGTGTTACATGTCGACCGCCGCGCCGTGCCGAGGGCTTGTCCTTTTCATCTCAAGTCCTCGTTCTGCGCTCCAGGCCAAATTGCGTGTTTAGTTCCTCTCTTAACTCGACTAATTGGATTACATTTTGGAATAGATTACAAGCCCTTATCTTCAATACATGAAACAATTTTCGAACGGTACGGCAATATTCTGATGCTGGGGACGCTTCATTCTTGTTCCGCTTTTAACATGTTCATATTCACTTTTAAAACTTTTACTCGTGTAATTTGAAAATTTTGAATTATGCCAATTATCTCACAAAAGCACAACGTCTAATGTTTGCAGAACGCTTTACTTGACCAAGATAAAATTCAGCTCCAATGAATCGAATTTTAAAGGAAATGAGAAAGACATGAGTCCTGAGACCCACAAGAATGTATGCATAACAGGGCTCACGTCATAATGCACATAGTTCCGCTTGGCAGAAATACGTCCAATTATAGCATATTTCAATAGTAGTAAAGTGCAGCCTCTTAAACATTTCCATTTAGAAACACGAAGAAAAATCATCTGATCCAAATGCCTTAGTTACAGGCAACCGCGCTACACCCTATAATTGCAACACACGGTTTATTTTTTTCCCCGCAAGAAATTCGAGGTTAATCCTGGTGATGTTCACACGAACTTCGTTCATTGACTTTTTTTCCCTTTACGTTTCGTTCCATTCGTCATACTCCGGCAGCCTCGTGGAATAAAAGAGCAGCATGTCAGACTGAAGAGCATGTTAATTTTTCCGTCACTTGAGCAATGGATGTTTGTGCTCTGAGACATTGTTGGTCACCTCTGATGGCATGAACTGATAAGTCAGATCACCACTGGCAGGTTCGTCAAAGTTTTTGCAATATTTTTTCCTGGGAAAGTTACTATTTCCTTTCAAAATGCATTCTATCATTTTACATGTGTCATGGATTGCTGTGGCACCGAGGAAGTTGCGCGAAACAGATATAAACGTTTATATTTGCCTGAAAGAGCAATTTCTTATAATAGGTCTGTTTGAACGCAAGAGACACAGCCAATTGAGTGTACTTTCTAAGAGTATTCACTCGAGAATCACGTTTGACGCATTGAGATAGTCTGAAATCCACTCCTTAGCGCACAATTTGCTAGTTTTAACTGTAACACACTTTTTCAAATTTACCGCGTGTGCGGACAGTTTTTGTTGGTGGTTGGCAGTCAGCTTTGCCCGGAGAGAAACCTACCCTAAATAAACAATCTCGTGAACTGTTTTAATTTCTCCTTGCGTAAGATTTCCGTTGATCCAAAGAATTTCTTTTTGCAAAATAAAGAAAGAAAAAGCAAACAGACGCTTAGAAATGATTGAAATCATACGAAAGAAAAAGTAATCGAATTAGTTTTTTTAAAATAAAGTTAGTTATCGCTAGTTAGTTACTCTTCTGCTAGTGCAAACCTGGTCGGTGGTAACCGAGAAAAACTGCCTGCAGACGCAAAAAACTTGAAAAAGCGTGTCACAAGAAACGCAGATTGCACGCTAAAGAGTGGATTTCAGATTTTTTTTGAAGTTCCTAACGTGATTTTCGTGCTATTTTACCCGTGAGGAGTAGAATTATTTGGGTGTATCTTTTACGTGCAACAGACTCATTACAATGGACCACTAGACAAGGTACAAATTTCAGCATTCTGATATATGTTTCGTAACTAAAATTTCACGTAGAACACGATGCGCACACCAAAAATTACCGCAATTAACTACTTACGAAGATATTTAATGATTCTTGATGCGTGAATTCAAACCACCCGCCCATGAAAGCTCAATGCTCTACGTGATCCACATCGTGCGCTAAACTTTATCATGACAGTCTCTGCGATATAAAAATCTGGCAACCTCAATCTTGACGCTTTGGCTCAGCTAAAGCAAATTGCTGATAGTTTGAAAAACACATGGTGGGAAATGAACATTGCTCTATTAAGAAGATTGCTGAAACCGTTGTAGTGCGCGATTTGACTCAAGTAGAGCTTTGAGTTTCTTGTGAGCGGGCAGTTTATCAAATTCCTCGAAACCAATGTGAAATCAAAACGTTAATATCTTCGTTAGGAGTTGGTTTCAGTAATTTTCGTTGTGTGAATAGTGTTCTACGTGAAATTCCGGTTAAGGAACATGTATCAGATCGCTTAAATTCGTACCTTGTCTAGTGGTCCATTCCGTTTTAAGCATATAACATGACAGTTATTCGCCCAAGTTTAAATGTGGTTTTTCCCTACGTTCTTTTTTGTCGATGATGAAATATTCGTGAGATGGTTAACTAAGCCGCATTTAGTGTGTATACTACTTTAAAAGATGAAAACCTTCACGAGACAGGTAATTGATTGATCAATGTGTTCCAGCATAGGAATATACGTGATAACATAAAATAGTGACGTAGCATACTATAGCATAATATTAAACTCGGATTGCTTCTTTGGTGCATTGCTATTGCCTGGCCAAGGCAGCGGACTGAGCGGAGTTCATATCAACGTAGATTTTCTCTCCAAAATCAACGATTAGCTCATGCAACAAAGGGTTAAGTAAGAATGTCCATGCGTCGACAACTCCCGTTTGTCGGCGCGTTTACTTTTCTTCGCTGCGTTAAAGTCGCATCATTGGCGGATCCAGCAAATTGGCATCATTGTTTTTCTCCATTTAAATCTGTGGAAATGTATGGATTCTTGGAGGAGCCCGCTGCTCCAACAAGAACCGATTATAGAAGATATCGACATAGGCTCAAACGGAGGGAATTCGGTGTTGTCAAATTCCTGGATCCATTCCTGAGCCGCGTGAAGTGCTTAATGCATTCTGCCGGCTTGGTAATTCTTCCAGTGGCGTGGCGTGATTTTTCTATCGGTATTTCCCCATTTGGAGCTGTGGTAAATAATCGATTATTATGAAATTCGTTGCGAGCACCCTGTTTATCGATACTTTTCCATAGGTTTAAATGACCGATCAGTCGATACATCGCAAGCACGCTACGCCACTGGATTCGTCGTGTGTCCAGTATGATCAACTTTTGAAATAATTTTTAATAATTATCTCAATGCGTCAGGCAACCTAATCCGACGGTCCTGTTCGTCGGCACGCCTACTTTTCTGCGCTGTGTTTAAAATCTTTGCAGTAATTACTGCATTTCGACCCAACTTAAACAAAAATAGATCTTTATCAAAGGCGTGAGTATACTGAATTCAACAGTGCAATTAGTTTCTTTTTAGGTTTATAGATTCATGAGAAAATTAAAATACCTACCTTACTAGATAATACTTGTATATTTTCACAAAATAAGGTTTGTTTTAGACATTGGAAACGATGATACAATATCTAATGTTTTAAAATAATAATCACAGTTATACTACTTCCACAATGAAAGCAAAAAAAAAAAAAATAACAACATTCTTAAGCTCTTATTGTTAGTTTACAGATGATAAGAAATATGTCATCTCTGACTTAGGTATGTGCGAAGACTGATGTAACCGCATTTACCCAACGAACTTTATGATTTTCACAATTTTGATATGAATAATGACTGACTTTGATGTGTAATTTGTGTGAAAGCAGTTACATTAATGATCCTGTTTTTTGCTGATCCACTAAACAAGAAACTCTTGGTGTAGGCTAAACCATTTCGTTTTGATTCAAAATTAAATGATACCTAAGTCAAAAGTTTTGAGCCATAATACATCATCTGAACAATAATATGACGGGACGGAATTAAGAATACTAAACACATCCATTGCTGCCGAAGGTCAATGTAAATATTTACTTACTTCAGCATTACATTCAATTTCCACAATGGGACAAATGTTACAAAGTACAGTTTTCTGTACTTCCTCTCAAATGAGCTTGTTAACCTGTTTCTAATTCTTGCATTTTCAGAAACTGCATTGTCTCCTGATCACGCAGTAATTTTTTCAGATTTTTTCGAGCCGTTTTTCCCTCCGAAATCGACTTTTGAAGTTCGAAATTTTAAAATGCCGCGTTTGCCCGCGCTTTAGCGGCAATTCAATATGGCGCCGGAATTACCCCCTAGCTTTCTTGCCACACATTCGACCGGGCGCCGTCAGCGGGACCTCTACGCGTTCGAATATCGAGGCTAATCAAAACAACCAACTGGCTGTTATCAATTTCATCTTTTGACAAAGAGTTCTCTAGTTTTTGGCATATTTTCTGAACTGTTATTCGTTCAACTAAAATATCTAACCCTGCTTTACGAATATCTCGACCTGCAATCTCCTTGGAACGTTGGAAAATCCGAAAATATTGACCAAATTTGTGCTAGTTTACTTGGTCATTTCAGTACACTGAGATACTGAGTTTCCATGGTAGTGAAGTGAATTTGGGAATAATTCTTCTTGAAAATGTTGAGTGCATATGTTTTTGCAATAGTTTTTGCTTAAACTTCAGAAACAACAACAGATCGGCCGGTCAAATCCTGACACTGTTACTGACCATGCCGAAGCTTCATGATGCGAAGCCTTGTGCTTTGTTTCGGGAAGTAAATATTTTGGAGAAAACTTCCTACTTCTCATTTACAGCAATCTAAATAGAATCAGTAATCGAATGTCCTTCCCTCAATGGCTCTCTTTAAAGAAATATCCACAATATATTACATGTAGGTATTACTTGTTTACTCTTGGGAAGCCACCCAAGAATAAAAAGCCTTCGACAATTTTCTATTCTGGGACCGTAAACTTATTAAACTGTTCAGTGTTCCATAATTATTACAGGTATATTGTGAATTGCTAGTGTGTGCCATTCTTTGATAGTTTGTCTCAATGCGAGATATAACATCCGTGATTTAATCTCAATTTCTCATCCACTCATTTTCTACGTAATCACATCCTCCACATGACTTTGATTCACTTTGAACCTGATTTTTTTTTTGGTAAATAATGGCTCAGCATATGCTGAGCGTTTTACCAGAAAGTCAGCTTTAAGTTACATTCTTCGACATGGAACTACATACAAATTTTGTGAAGATGCATGCCCTGACTCTGAATGAATGGATGTTATTAAAAATCCTGAAGATGAAAGGTGAGTAGCTAACTACTTTGTAAGTTCCCTTCTCAATTCCGATTACCTAAGTGTATGGTTTCTAATAGCGGATAGTAAGAGTCGTCCAGAAAGTAAGTTTACCTGTTAAATACTTCCTAAATTAACGAAGATAGGTAGAGACAATCTGTAACAAGCTTTGAAAAGTCACTACCCTGGTTCTCTAATACGCTGTAGATTTTTAAATTTGGCTTGATAGAACTCTAGAAAAGTGGGATTTTCTGAACCCACCTCCTCTCCGCACGGGTTCAAAATTAGTGATAGACACAGTGGCTCATTTGCGAATGAGGCTCTGTAAAATTTTGGACCTGTGCGGAGAGGAGGTGGATTCAGAAAAAGCCACTTTTCTAGAGTTCTATCAAGCCAAATTTAAAAATCTATGGCGCGTTAGAGAACCCAGAGTGGTGGCTTTTCTAAAGTTTATTACAGATTTTCTCGAAGTACCTATCTCAGTTTAGGAGATATTGAACAGGTAAACTCATCTCTGGACAATCCTCGTAGTTGTTCTTCCCTCTTTCTTGCAAATTATTTATTGAAATGAAATACATAAGGCTCTTTATCATTGAAATATCACTATGGAAAAGCAACTGAGTTTAAAGACTGAGACAAAAAAAGATAATGGTGACAGTAAAATGAAGTGAGAAAATCTACCAACTGGAGGCATCCACTTCAAAATATTGCTATCACATGAATTTGTTGGCTGGAGTCTAGCGCATCCATCTGCGCATAATTGATTTTAAGGGTTTCCATGGGCGTACTGAAGGAAAATCTAGACAAATTTTCTTCGACTTATAATTTGATCAGTACCTAGACATTTCTGCTGTGAAATGGAGACCTCAGGTTTCCATGTCAATCCAGTGATAAGAGAATACCTTGGTGTGCCTTCGAAATAACACTTGCTACATTTTTTGTGATTTTCAATTACTGGATATTACATTCATTGCACACCGCAAACATTTTTTATGAGAAAACTACATATGTTCCAAAGAATTTAAAACAAGTCATGTGCACGTTGGAGCAAATTTACTTCTGTTCTAGTTTGAACATTATTGGTACGTACCTTTAAATTTCAGGATTTAACGGCTTTTGCCGAAGGGTCTGTTGGTGCCGGCACACACAGTTCCAGGGTAGAGTGGAGATCCATGTCGAAGAAAATTCCTTTGAACTGATTTTTTAGTAAATAAATGCTCAGATGACTGAAGCATAATTTACTACACTATCAGACTTCAAAGGGAGTTGGTCATGAGGAAGTATTCACAACAGCAAAGGAAAGAATATGTGGATATACAAGTAGAAGTACTTAATGAGCAAATATACAGATTACTGACTTTAACACTCGCAAGAAAGGAGGAAAAATCTTAGAGTAAGTGCTTGGTATCAGATGTTCTAGCAGCATAAAGCCCGTCCAATGTGAAGATTGTTTGATTACCCAATCGTTGCAAGTGCAAGAATTTATGTATGACCGCAGAAAATGTATCATTAGAAGAACACTCATAAGTATATTTTGACTAACACAAACACTGTAAAAATCGTGTGCAATGTTAACCCCAACACCGAAAACACGGTGATTTCAACTGAAAAACCAAGCCTTTAGATACTTAAGTGATAGGGACACACACATATAACTAACACAGTTTTGGAAACTATTTCCGGATTTCCCAACGTTTCAAGGAGATTGCAGGTCGAGATATTCGTAAAGCAGGGTTAGATATTTTAGTTGAACGAATAACAGTTCAGAAAATATGCCAAAAACTAGAGAAATCTTTGTCAAAAGATGAAATTGATAACAGCCAGTTGGTTGTTTTGACATAGAATAATGTTTTGATTAGCCTCGATATTCGAACGCGTAGAGGTCCCGCTGACGGCGCCCGGTCGAATGTGTGGCAAGAAAGCTAGGGGGTAATTCCGGCGCCATATTGAATTGCCGCTAAAGCGCGGGCAAACGCGGCATTTTAAAATTTCGAACTTCAAAAGTCGATTTCGGAGGGAAAAACGGCTCGAAAAAATCTGAAAAAATTACTGCGTGATCAGGAGACAATGCAGTTTCTGAAAATGCAAGAATTAGAAACAGGTTAACAAGCTCATTGTTGCGGATTTACAAACATACAGTTATGTTGAGCACAACTGTGTATTGTATTGACATATACAAGTTCTTAATTTCTGAAATCGCCCTCAACTGCGTTCTGGAAAAATAAAATAATGTTGATAAGTGGTTCAATCGTAGCGCACGGTTTTTTCGGTAAATATTTTTCATAGCGAAACAAGATTTGATGATTTGTGCAAGAGCGTAACACAGCCGTCAAGAGGCTTTGAAAGCTCAGAAAGAATCGTAATAAACGTGAAATTCTATAGGGATAGAAGTTTCATGAGTGCTTTAGGACTCGACTATTTTGGCTTCGCTTCTGGCGAAAGCCAGGAACACCTGCTCCAGTGTCGTATTGCAAACTTGATAATCTTCAACAACATTCATGGATCCTTTAATTTCTCGCATTTTATTAAACAGCGCAGAGAGAGCTACCGTCGGGGTAGTAATGTGGTAGCGTAGAGACCCAGCGTGCTCGTCTTTGAGCATGGCCCCTTCAAACGCTTGTTCCACCGCCCGCTTGACGGCAGTTAGTTCCGTTTGAGGCGCGCCACTCAGTTTCAGCTGGATTGTGTAGCCTTGTGCGTAACGCTGTTTTAGGTACTCCACGTTCCCGATGCACATGAGTTTACCACCCGCCATTATCGTAAGTCGATCACAGAGAGTCTCGCATTCGTCCATTGAGTGGGAGGTGAACACGATTGCTTGACCTGTTGGACACCAGAGAGGTTGACAGTGCTAGTATTATGATTCAAATTTTTGTCAGGCAGACATAATGAAAAATCCATGCCTGGGTTTCAGAGGGAAACATTTATCTTTCCTCCGGATCGTAAGAGAGCCGGTGCCCATTTTTAAGCCTTTCTCTATTCGTATAGTGGTTGAGAAGTTAAAATGGCTGAGAGAGTTTTTGCGTATAATAAGGTATACTTTTCATTTTCATAACTTTAAGAGCAGCTTTGCTCTTGGATTGTAATAGTATCAGATGTTCAAAGTTAGATCTCGTCCTTGTTCTTCCAAATGTAACTTACCACAGTAATTTTTTCAATGCATTTTGATGCAATATGACTAAGATCATAAAGTTGCCTTCTCTTGAATAAATATAGGTTATTGCATACGTAGTAAGTAAATGATGTGCTAAAATAATTATCAACCGCCAACTTTGCATTAATAGTCAGATTGCAGCAGATGAATTAGAAAAATCGCTATTTTCAACTAATTTAAGGCTGACATAGAAAAAGAGGCAACACTTAATATCAAATAATACCTTATACCAACTCATGCAATGTGACTTCAACATCGTCGACGTACGCATCTGGTAAAAAAGTCGAAGAGTTTTGGTAATAAGAAGAAATACTTCCTACGTCGATACTTGTTTATTAGTTGAGTATTTGATTGTTTTTTATCAATTTTAGAGCAACGAGGATCTAATAGACAACGGCGATTTTTCATTTAATCTCTCGCATCACATTATTTGAAAAAAGAAGAAGGAAAAAAATAAAAATAATAATATTGTCACTTTCTTGATTAAAAGCCTCCCCTTAAGCTCATAATCCAGTCGGAATTGACGCTGTTTGGTATTGAGACTGCACTTAAATGGGCATAGATATAAAATATAGAATTAAATCTGTTTCTTTGATATAAGTATCCTAAAACTCTTTCTTACAGTGCAAGGAAACCTCGTCATTGCGGAATCTGCTTATGGCGGCTATTCGCTCCCTATGATGAATATTTTGTATTTTTCTGTGACTTTGCTTTGACGAATGCATGCCACTGGATAGTCATAACATAATCATACTAATAATGGAATTACTTCTTAACCTCGTGGCATTCTGCCACTAACAGGCACCTGTATGTATCAGAAATTATTTAATCTGTGCGAGTAAAAATTGCCGAATAATGAATTTGGAAATTTGTTCACCTCTTTTCCGAGCTTCGATTAGTATGTCCCAAAGTTTCCTTCTTGAAATCGGGTCCACACCACTAGTCGGTTCGTCGAGCACGACCAAGTTTGGCTCTCCTATCAACGCCATCGCGGTGCTTAGTTTCCGCTTGTTGCCGCCAGAGTACGTCCCAGACAGTTTGCTCGCGTACTCCGAGAGGCCCATTGTTGTTACCCACCTGGCAACCTCCTGATCTATTTGATATCTAACGAGCACACCCACATGCATAATTAAACAACTGAGATAAATCTGAAGTTTTTATCGTGAAGTGACTTATGATCTCATGACGTCATGAAAACACACATTGTAGCTGACAACTAAGAAATACAAAATTCCATGCTGAAGTAGACAACCGTATAAGCAATAGGAAGTTACCAAAGTGCTGATGATGATAACTATTATTTTCGAATATGTACGTATATTTTACCTTCCTATCAAGGTGGTAAAAAAGGGGTGGGTCCACACTATTTAGCGGGGAAAACAGGGCCAGATTTTTTTTTAAAATTTCAATCAGAGTAAAAAATGTTGAGTTCTAATGAAAATCAGTACAAGACTGAAGGGGATAGCTCAAAATTATAGCTCCTAATTTTTCACTGTAAAAATTTTCGAACTTCTTGGCCGTGTTTTCTCCGCAAAATAGTGAGGACCCAGGATTTTTTTTCCACGTTCTTACGCTCCGATTGGGTTACGGTTTTTAGAATTTTCTTACCCTCAAATGTAATTCACAGGATAAACAATTTGCCCGCAAATTTAAAATGAAAGTAATATAACTAATCGCGAAAATAAATACTTGGACGGATGAAATTTTTCAATTTTCGAATATTCACGCATAGGACGCTTTTTCCGGATTGCGTCAATTGGTCTGCTAAATGGTGGCGTTGCATTCCAGCAGGACGAACCTACCCACTTATCCGTTTGGAATTTGCGATAAGTCAAAGATCCGGACCAAGTTCCGTAAAAAAGGTTCAATATCCAAATACTCCGGTCAGGCTTCATACGACTGAACGATCTCAAAACAAGATGCAGCTGGGATGATTACCTAGCAGATATGCAAAATCGAGAAACGAAGTTCGGTCGTATGAACCGAATGTGTGTTGTTCAATATCGGCCGTATTGTTCGGTCCATGTAACCGCTCTCTCGGTTCTGTGAACTATAGCCTCGGTTCATCCAACCGAATTTCTTCCTCAGTTCTATTCGGTTTGAATGCTCGATTGCATGAATCGAGGCTACGATTCCCAGAACCGAGAGAGCGGTTACATGAACCGAGCAATACGGCTAACATTGAACATCGCACATTCGGTTCATATCACCGAAATTTTTCCCTCAGCGAAGGCCGCATTTCATCTCTTGAAGATTTTTGATTTCTCAGAAAAGAGGCTGGATAAACAGGGCTGTGGTCCCAGAGAGCGAAAAAGCAAGACACATCAAAATTGATGAAAGGTTACCTGTGCACTCCTCTCAGATTCGCGAAGTGGCGTAGGAGTTCTTGGCCTGTGAGGTACTCGTTGATGCCGTCGACCTGGGGGCAGTAGCCGATCTGGGCCAAGTAGCGGCGGGCGTCTCTGGAGAGTCGGACGGAGTGGACAGAGCAGTCGCCGGCCGTTGGGAGCGTGTCGCCTGTGAGCATGCGGAAGGTGGTCGTCTTGCCGGCCCCGTTGACGCCCAACAACCCGAAGCACTCGCCGGCGCGCACCCCGAACGACACCCCGCGCACCCCCGCCGACGATCGCGAGAACTTCTTCACCAGCCGATCCACCAATAGCACGTACTCAGATCTGTGCTCTGAAACAATGGGGTTGCCGCAATTTACGAATGCGTCTTAGAGCTGCTTCCGAGACAGACCGCGTTGAACAGAGAGGAACAGAGCCACATAAGCAATTGGCCAATTTAATTGAGTACTTTTATTTTTTACATGGAAACGGTTGTGTAATTTTCATGCAAAGTTTAATGAATTTTCTCCATAGAACGAAATTTTCAAAAGGAATCCGCACAAACTGTTTCTCGTAAAAAAATAAATTTCCTAGTTAGATTTTAGCAAAAAGCTGATGTGTCTGATGTTCCATTCCGTTAAACTCGGTCCAAATGAGACTGTGCGGGGCTCATGGATGCCAAACAGATCATTGCATGACATTATAACAAAACAACTTAACTGATATTGTCATGTGCAGGGAATGACATAAGAAAAGTTACCGAAACAGGTCCTGGATTATGTTCCTCCTGGGAGATAAGGCGCAAAGGGCGCCCAGTCAGAGCAGGGTGGAGGGATGGAAAATGAGGCAGAAATGTTGAAGTTACTCGATTTCTGAAGGATTATGCTGCCGTGCCAAGTACATATAATAACCGTATATGTTCATTGGGATATTGCCAAACTTTCCCCTAGGAAATAATTATTTTTGAAGAAAGTTACGAATAATTGTCCTCGAAAATTTCAGACTTTATAGATCAAATTGCGAAGGAAAATTCTCTGAAAAATCGGAAGAGAAATACTCTAAAAATTTCCTGAAAATTCGTGATTTGTCGGAGAAAACTAAGTAACATCCGATATCTCATACGTCTTTTTTCCTTATCACGGTAGTTTGGTTCAATAGGGGAGAACATAGATTACTAGTTAGGTGTCGTAGAGCTCCAGAGCATGATATGAAGCGACACGTATGCATTTATATGTTCAAGTTACAGAGTTATTAATCTGTAAATAAAATCCGGAGCACATTTTTTACTCCGATGATGTCACTGATTCGTCAAATCGTCACCTTCCAGGCAAAGTATCACAAGCGCCATGCGACGTTTAAAAATTTCCGCCGCCATTTTATTTTTTTACAGAGAAATTGTTCAACGAAGCTGTCCGAAAATTTCACTGAATTTTCTTTGTGCTGCCGATAAAATTTAGTGAAATTTCCAAACAGATTCAACCAACAATTTCTCAGTAAAGAAATAAAATGGCGGCGGAAATTTTTAAACGTCGCATGGCGCTTGTGATACTTTGCCTGGAAGGTGACGAAATATCATGCATTGAGTTCATATAGCGCTCCTAAATTAGAGATCTTACTGATTTCAGGCAACAAGGTTATAAAAGGGCTCATTTTCATTTCCAGTTAAATTATTTGCCTTGTGGTAAGACTAAATGCACTACCGGGTTGGCATAAGTGTGAGCTAGTAATAATAACCTACTTGACATCTAAGAAATTCCCACGTGCGGAGCTGTTATTCATTTATTCTTTGATATATTAATTTATTTATTATTTCTGAGAGGAATCGATTGAATATGTTGGTGTGCTCTCCAGTTTTTCGTAAACTTATCAATGATATTACGGTATAATGGTATTACTTTCTAAATTCTTCGTGAGTTTAGGAGTAAATCAAAAAGACGTCCTTATTTCTCGAAACTTCACGAGGGTGGTTTCTAAGTTGGTATAAATTGAACAATCATCCACTCTAAATTAAAATGATTCTATTTGCAATAAAATATGCCTGTCCTCGGTAAAACGAAAATACCATTGTACAAAACAAAAAAGTGAACATCATTCTCACAATGAAATTGTATGTGTAAACCCCCCTCCCCCTCCTCCCTCTCAAAACAGAGCCTTAGTCCGAAACCTCAATGACGCATAACAGTATCTGATTCATTTAATAAACATAAACTGAAGAGATGAGGAGAATCAGAACGCCTTCAATTTTCTCTCATATTAACACAGTTATCCCTGGAGCACGAATAATTGCATAAGAGAAAAACGTTCCTCTCTTCTGCCCTCTCATTTAAATGTACGGCACGGTCAGCGCCAAGAGTTGTGAAGCCTTGCTTTGAGTCGATTCTTTGTACTTGTAGGGACGAATTTTAGGTGCATTGCAACTTAAATTAACCTCGAATAAATCGAGGTATAAATCAACTAACGAGTGTGATGAGATCAGAAGAGTAACGCCAATTTGTTTCTGGCTGAAATTCTTGACCTACTGAACGGATCACAGTTTATCTCTCTATTGCATAGTGTTACTCATTCGCAGCAACGCATTTATTTTAAAAGTGATTTCACAAGGATTTTTAAAAAATTTAACTGTACTTATCTGTGGCACAATGTTGCAAATTTTTATGAATGTTTTCTATTTTTGAATGATACATTTCCGAATTTTTTTAATTTTGTGGACAACATTCGGGACTCAGTGTTTTCACAAAAGTTACAGCATGGATTTGTGTCTCCCAGAATCCGATGGAAATTAATTATTCATGCCGTAGAGGATTGAAATAGTACAATACGCACGCTATTTTAAATACGAAATTTAAATCGAAAATTAACTATTTATTTTAAAAGCATGTATATTAAAATCTTGGCATCGCAGTGGCCGTCCTATTTCTGTATGTTGAGGCTCTATTCCAACACCGCTTCTTCATTTGCTGCTCCTTTAAGAAATCGATTTACTTTCAAATATGCCCCGCTGCGATTATGATGTTTCCTCCTGAGCACCAAATAAACGTATCTACCAACCAACCATACATACATCCTAACTTTTAATTTTGCACTACCTTTTGTGACCCCTACTTTTTAAATTTTTAAATTCTGTACCATATTTTGATCTCCTTTCTAATGTGTTAATGGCTAAATTGGTAGAATCACCAAATTAACGTCTCTATCTACCTACCTACCATACATACGCCGCCACAATACCCTGTCCTCCCACAGCATTCAGGAAAGAGACAATCCCTCACAAATTCAAAAAGTTCTGATCACTTCTTGCAGATCCAAATTAGCATTGATCGATATGAGTAGGAAAGTATCGTTAAATAATCTAAATTATATTCACCATAGCTCACATACAAGAGGTAATTGTAACTTTGTGACCAAAGTGATTCGATTTTATCGATAAGAGGTTGCTTGTTGCTTACCCTCTCAATTGAAGGCGCTGAAATAATCGTAATCTAAGGGATTAAATTGCGATTTCTCGGTGAGCACATCCTCTTTGCCTTGCACGCGGATGTTATCCGCAGATCACAGTGGTGAATTAACAAAATATTGTTTTAGATTTTTCATCGTAAAGTAACATTATCAAAATGAATTTTAACTCTATTGGCATTTCCAATTGGAGAAATACAACAGCAATAAAAATAATCCGTGCTGATAATAGAACCTTCTGTTCATAGGGCTCCTGCACTTTCTTTGTTATACTTACATAATTTTTTTTGTTGTGAGAATAGTCCTTCGATCGTTAGCACAGAGTACTCTGTCCTCATGATAGAAGCTTCTGTAGCTGTGACATAGAAAGCATAGGAGCCCTATAAACAGCACTATTCTCTCAGTGTGTACAGCATAGAGTAAAAACCATGGATATCGGTCCGGCTGATCTCAAGCTACAACTATTGCAAAAAATCAAAATTTTGGGGAAAAGAGAGCATGTGGAATGGTTGTTTGAGTATAAGACTTCTATCAAAAACTGGACATACCTGGGTGATTCTTTGCTGCATCAATTTTCTCCCTTTCCTCTTGAACATCCGGATCTTCATCTGTTTGCTTCTTGTCCTTGAGCTCGGATCCGATGATTGATATAAACACAAAATTGCGAAGTTTTCGCGCACGCTCTGATTCCATAAGGAAGATTAGTGCCAGTTGGAAAAGGCCAGAGAGAGCCAGTGAAGTTAAATTGTATTTCAAACTCGTTTTCTGAACCTCCATGTCCCTGATGAATAACATTTCTGAAATAAAGCTCCCAAGATAAATTTTATCCAAATTTTGAATCTATGGAAAAAGAGTTTCTATTATTACTCATCGTTGGAATCTCACGTCATTTTTCTAATCTATATTTTTTTTTTTTATTCATTTTTTCCTCAACTTGCGACGGTCTCTTTTTTTAAAGTTTTAATCAGTAGCGGCAGCAAGGGCTCATTTTGAGCTAAGAATATTTAAGTTACCTCTTAAAATGCAATTGCTTGTCAAGTGAAATCTGTCAGGAGGGAGAGATTGACTGTTACACTGAGAAAAAATTTTAGTCAGATCAACCAGAAAACTACTTGATCCAATGAGACTACTCCAATGAATATTTTCCGGAATGGAATGATACTTGAATCAACTGGAATAGCCAGTTATATTTTTTCTAGTTGAAGTAACTGGAAACTATCCTTGTTTTAAATGGATAGAATCCTTGCGGTGACTGGAACTATCCTCGGAATAACTGGAAAATATCCTTGAAATGACGGGAAAAATTACTTGGTATCACTGGAAAATTTCCAGAGACTCTGCCCCTAGTTTCTGGCCGTTGAAGGCATGTATGTATTTATTGAATAAAATATACATTCAAAATCACAAAATTACGGTCACCTAATTTGATTTACAACTATACAGGATTTATTGCCTAAGTTCGTCGCGCATTAAATTTTGGGACATACCCGGGGATTGAACCCGGGAACTACCGAAACCTAGCCTAAGACATTATATTTTAACATGCGCATCGTTCTTCTCGTACCAAAAACTGTAAGATCCGACTGTTTGCAGGCAAATCCCTCCCGAGCTTAACTGACTCGTCATGCAACTAAAATCAACGCATTTCGATTACGTGTCCTCGGATTCCCGCTTATTTTTACTTGGTTACGCACGTAGAGTAGTCTCAGATAGGTTTGCATAAAGTTTTCTGAGAATATGTTTCAATGAGCAAAGAAAAGTCGCATACAATTTCTTTAACTATCAATCACTGGTTGTCCATACAATATGTAAAAAAATTACGGGAAATTAGCGATGTGGTGATCACCAAAACGTTGACCTAGTGTCACAATTAATCGGTCTTTTTGTATTCATATTGCCAGATATTAGGTACGTGCTACGCTGCTCGCTGAGGTATGGCACATACCAAAGGTACAAAATAACCACGCCATGCAATAGATGTCAATTATTCCAGAAAATTCTTCAAAAAACAAGATGAATGAATTTTAAAATTTGGAGCAACATCATTATTTTAATAGCAAGAGCTGGTACTCTCTGAATTCAGTGCAAGTTTTAGTTCTGTCTCAAGCAAAATAGCTGGTCAGAATGCGGACGGCAAAAGGGAAAAGCGCCTTCATTTTCGCTTGATGCAAGATACGATACACGTATACCAAAAGCTACCTATTCTACTCTACATCTTATTTTTTATCACATGCGATGGTAAAATGAGATCACATTGAAATGTATCCACTGCAATATGCTATCTCATGCAAAAAAAAAAAAAAAAATAGTAAAAGAACGAACATACATACACACACGTCGTAAAATGTCACGCATTTGTTTCAAAGGACAAGAATTAGGTAGAAAAATAGATGTGTTTAGTATTTGAACGGGTACTGAAGTGAAAATTTGACCCACTCATTAGGGATCATGCCTTTGAGATTTTGCGTGACCAGTAGAAAATCTTATTTTTGCAGCGCAGTTAGATGGGTGCTAAATCTCAAATATTGCAATATTGCTCTCTTAAGGAGCATTTTCAACGGAAATGTTGCGAATATAATACCACTTCATTGCCATGAGATTCACAAAGTATTCAAACAAAAAACAGCCATTTGATCGTTTGAGTGGTTGAATCCAAATGTTTTCCCAATTAAATCTTGATTTTTCGATCGGATAGATCTTTATTTTAAAACGATAAAATTCTTCTCTCAAACATATGTTCAACTGATAAAATGAATAATTATGTCGTTTCTACGGCAGTATAATAGCGATTTTTGGATCCGATTCCATCAACATAAAGTTCTGATTTCCTCAAAATCGTAACCATCGATGAAACCGCAACTTAATTACTTTTGGGATGTACTTGATGGCATACTTACTTTGACATTCAGACTCCGAACACGTTCTGCAAACATCTGTCTGATAGGCGGCTAATACGAAACTGGTCAGTGAAAAGGTAAACGAGTATTGAGGTAAAAGCCGGAGAACTCCATCAGCTAAGTCCAGCCACGGGCCATCTACAAGCTGTGAATGTGGAAAACCGTTCAACGTCATCAAAGCGTACATGATGGCTCCACCGTAAGTACCTGGAAATAAATTTGCATAAAGTCGCGCTCTAAGTTGATAAAATTCTCAAGTCCAAATACGAGGATTCTATATGGCTTACTCCTTTATGACGAAGAAGACGCCCAATGAGAGGATGGCGTCAGCGGGTTTGGCGGTAAAGGGGGTAATTCCAATTCCCCGAAGGACCGTGGGAAAATAGGATACTGCGGCGGTAAAGCATCGCAGAGCGCCAGACAGAGCCAGAGCTGTTGTAATTGTTCAAGTTATGAAAGCAGCTCAGATATGTGTACATGACAAGGTGGTGAAATGGTGCTGGGTCCGCACCATTTGCCGGGAAAAACACAGGCGAAAAAATACCAAATTTTCAATTAAAGTCAAAAATCAGTCTTGCGCTGATATTCATAATATTAGAGCTCAACAATTTTTACCTCAAATTGAAAATTTTGGAACTTTTCGACTTTGTTTTTCCCGCGAAATTGTGTGGGCCCAACACCATTTCACCGCCTTGCTACGCACGTTTCAGGCCAATTCTCAGTGTTCTTTTTCTCATTTGATGTGTGAGGGTGTGTGTGTACACTCCCAATTTTGGTGTAAAATCAAAAAGCAACAACCCAGCTCATTGATATAGTTCACTCGTGGATTGATACGTTGTTTTTTGTTCATCATTAAAAACTACATCAGTCAACAATCCCAACTAAAAAATAAAAGTTAATAAATTATCCTCAGAGGCTCGACAATATATCTTCAATGACCATCACAGCGAAGTTGTGAGACAGTGATATGGTCCCTTAATTTGCTTACTTATCCGGGTTATTAGGTGAAAAGTTTTTAGGTTTATTGGATTTATAAGTAAAGATCAAGAGAATTCTTTTGAAGACACTTACCTAGTATTAAATTCATTTTGATATGAAAGGAAAATGCGTTAGCGTAAGATTCGTAGAAAAATGCAACGCCGGAAGAGAACAATGTGTTACTCAGCCCAGCTAACGCCGTAATCAAGAAGAGGACCGCTACATAAAAGAAGATACTTAGTGCGCATTACATGTCAAAAAAGAGCGGTAACTATATTTGTATTCACCTACGTTTTATTATCATGAGTCATTAGTCATATACTTACACGCGAGTGTGTGTGTGTGTACATATATACACGCAAAATTGAAAATAAGAGCGGCCACAGTATAGAGTGTTAGATGTTATGAAAAAATTGGAAAAATGGGTTTTGCGTATAAAAACACATTTGAAATTGAAATTATATTACTGTTTGTCACTCAAATATGAATTATATCGAATCTATGGGTTAATTAGCCGACAAAGGTTTCAAACGGTGAATTTCATTTGACTTTTGCATATAGCAAATAGGAAACGTGTGAATTGTTGAAATAAATTGGTAAAAAAAATTCAAAATATACTTTAAAATTTTATAACAATATTTTAAAAAAAAACTGCATTGGAACGATCTGCCTCTTGCGTTTTAGGAATTTTTTAAAACGAAATTCACCTTGGAATTGTCATTAGCTCAAAATCTCCAATAGTTAGTGCTACCTTCACTTCTTGCATTTTTTTTTTTCTTATACATATTTGATAGTGTGTTTCATCTATTCTTCAAAAGTAAGATAAAAAGAGAAGGAAATAGAGTTAGCAGCTTACCAGCTTCTCCTGCGATATAATTTTCTTTGAAAAGGAAGATTAGCACGGAAAGTACAGAAATGAGTATGTAGTAGGAGTAATCAACGAAGAACATGGTAAACCAATAAAGGGTGGAAGGAGCACCAGTCATCAACTGTAGTTGCTTAGCGTTGTTGAGACGCTCCTGGATCGGAAGTGCAATGAAAGAGCCACTGAGCACAAGCATCGTCGTCCCAAAAAATTGGAACAATATGAAGATCCTTGAAATGACCAACTTCATTTTTTCGTCACTAGTTAAGTGACAGAAATCCTGCAAGAAATAAATAGGAACGAACGATGCAATCATTTATGAGAGATGGAGTAAGGGCGTGGTTACGCATTGATAGAAATTGTGTTCTAAAATGCATAATTGCATAGGTAAATAATGAATTGGATAGAATGCGCAAATTAGACTTTTCAATCGGCCGTTTTTTCTTTAAAAAAAGTCTATTATTTGTGTTCTCGTGTTACTTTTGGTTAATATAGGAAGTGAAACACAAACAAGTCCAAATTTTGTGTTGATTTTGGTACAGTTTGCGGTGAATTTACCGCTAAACAATGGAGAAACTGGGAAAATGCATTCCTCCGGTTGCGACGTTGGTATTTTCCACTCGTTTTTCATTAACTGCAAGTAAGCTAGCTGGCATTTTCTATTAAAATTTTCAATCGAGGGCTTGGGTTATTTTGAGTTTTACTTCCTTTAATAATCGAACTTTTCTCTTGAAAGAGGTTGTTCCATCTACCATTGAAACTGGGCCCCGAATGAAATCTCCTCATCTTTTCAGGTATCAAAGGGCATGGTCAGGGACACCCAAAAATGGTTGAATTTTTTCCAAATTCCCCCCTGGGGAGGGGGGGCGGGGGGTTATATGAAAAACGGTTTTTTGGCTATAACTTTTGAACGGTTTGAGATATCGATTTGAACTTTTTTTTAAATGAAAGGTCGTTTAAAGAACTTTCTTTTGGTATATTATGTTTAATAGTTAAGTCAAGTTTTGACCAATTTATGGCCTGTCAAAAATTTTCCATGAGTCCAAAAATCAGATTTCTGTAGTTTAGAGCAGCGACGATCGCATGCAGATGAACAAAAAACTGTTCAACTTATAGCCCTCTCTCTGACGGTTAAAATGAGCCCAAGATCATCTTGGGGAAACGATTTGTCTCCGAGTTATGCTTCTTCAAAGTTGGCGCGGCGGGGTCCGCTTCCGCGGGGCAGCGCTCCGGAGTACGATAGTTCACTCCCACCCCCCTCCCGTCATGCCACGCGACGCAAACCGAGGAAGACTACCTTTAATGATCATTTGAACAGATAAATGCACACAATATACGCTATTATGGTGTACAAGTATTATTAAAATTATATTAATATACTAAATAGAAGAGTGGAATCTCACCGAATTTATCATCGCCGCAATCCATAGGATCATCGGCAGTGTGATCCGCATTTTCATCCTCATCTTCGTCGTCTGAAAAGCCAAAATCGACTTTTCTGAGAGGGAAGCACTCGTTCAAAAAGGCTGAAGGCGCTGGTTTTTTGTGATAGCGCCCGTAAAACAAATACGAGCACAAGGATTGATGGTACGCGCACCGTTCTTACATGTGCAGTAACTTGCTTTAATGGCCTCGCTGGATTTTTGACTGGTGTCGATTAATATAAATATATGATATTCTTTTTTTGATTTATGCCTCGATAGGATCCGCGATCGAAGAAAAAGAGGCGAATTTACGGAAATATCATATTTTTGAAAATCTGGCAAAAAGTTATCCTTCGTCACTTGAAAGCAATATTTTCCATCAGCAAAATGGTCTGCAATATGACTTGCTGCAAGTCCAATTTGATAACTTCCCGAGAGGGTGTCAAGATCTTCGCTCCTCCACTGTTCTAATTGTTCAAAATGATCTGTCGTCAGGTTTTCAAAAACTACTTTTTTTCGGAGCCATTTCTCGTCCTCAACAATTTGTTGCACAATATTCGGCTCATTTAATTTTTGGAGCATTTGAATGGCAATTTTTGCGTCGTCACCATCACTTTGCAGGCGTTGAAAATATAAATTATGTATCGCGGACACTATGCGATAGTCGTCAAACAAATTGCCGGATCCAGGTATATTGCTTCTCGTTTTATAGAGCGTTTTCAATATAATTTTAATAATACTTGTACACCATAATAGCGTATATTGTGTGCATTTATCTGTTCAAATGATCATTAAAGGTAGTCTTCCTCGGTTTGCGTCGCGTGGCATGACGGGAGGGGGGTGGGAGTGAACTATCGTACTCCGGAGCGCTGCCCCGCGGAAGCGGACCCCGCCGCGCCAACTTTGAAGAAGCATAACTCGGAGACAAATCGTTTCCCCAAGATGATCTTGGGCTCATTTTAACCGTCAGAGAGAGGGCTATAAGTTGAACAGTTTTTTGTTCATCTGCATGCGATCGTCGCTGCTCTAAACTACAGAAATCTGATTTTTGGACTCATGGAAAATTTTTGACAGGCCATAAATTGGTCAAAACTTGACCTAACTATTAAACATAATATACCAAAAGAAAGTTCTTTAAACGACCTTTCATTTAAAAAAAAGTTCAAATCGATATCTCAAACCGTTCAAAAGTTATAGCCAAAAAACCGTTTTTCATATAACCCCCCGCCCCCCCTCCCCAGGGGGGAATTTGGAAAAAATTCAACCATTTTTGGGTGTCCCTGACCATGCCCTTTGATACCTGAAAAGATGAGGAGATTTCATTCGGGGCCCAGTTTCAATGGTAGATGGAACAACCTCTTTTCTCTGTGTATACCTATACTGAGCGGATGAATTTGGCCAAAATTCAGTCGCATATTGTCTAAGTTTCAGACAATCCTGTGTCGAAAACCTTCGAAAAATGTAAAACTGAATGTTCATAAAAGCAGACTCCTACACTATTGCACGTACGTCTTTTCTTCAAAACTCTCAACGTATGTTTGATCGGTTTGTGTAATACTTTTCAATTTGCAACGTTGTTTACTTCAGTATACAGTCAGTAATATTTAAAAAAGAAGATAAATTTCATGAAATTTATTTCTTTTTTTTATTTGCGATATCATTATTGTTTATGTTCCTACTGAGAATTTCGCAGATCTTCACTTTGAGTTTCATGATGTCTAACTCTATCATAAATGTTCATTTGACGCGCATATTGTTTTTTTCTACTTACCCTTCTTTTAAGGTTCACAGGATGATTCACAGCAGATATCGTTCTGCCCGTTGTCGCCTTTAGTATAAGATTATAGGCAAGATTTACGCAAATGGGTAAAGAGTGTTGTGCAACAGGGTTGTGAAAAACTATGAGGGATGTGCTATTCACGTTCAGCACCATCATATTTTTGTAGTAGTACTCGCGGATATCCCTGTATGCCTGGCTCAGGAGATCTGGACAGTGAGATAAAAATGCGGACAGTTAGTGAACAAAAGTGTGTCCAATTGAATGATTAAAATATTCTACTTTCATACCTTACATCGCCAATAAACAGGATGTTTAGTTAACGAGAAGACGCTCAATTGATTCTGTGATGATGTCCACACCCTCCCCCTCCCCCGAATAATAATTCTAAAGATACGACAGTGACCGCTTTCGGCTATTTTCCATCAGACTAATTCATTAATTTACATTTCAAAACTTAATTTTAAGTGTGAATTTTCCACTTAAATGTTCAAGGCAAGACTCCGCCAAAAAAAGAAGAAGAAATAATGGATCGAACAATAGAAAGGGAGAGGGTAGAAAGATATTTCGAATGAATTTTATTCAATGTACATACAGAATAGATGATAATTTTTGTAACTGAGAGAACAGAAGAAAGGAGCGCCTTCAATTTTTTCATGCAACTATTCGTGCTTCAGAGATACCTGTATTAATATGGGAGGAAATTGAAGGTGCTTTGCTTCTCCTTATCTCTTTAGTTCATGTTTATTAAATAAATCTGATACTGTTTTCCGTCATCGAGGTTTCAGACTAAAACTCTGTTTTGGGGAAAGGGGGGTATACATACATTTTCATTTTGAGAATACTGTCCATTGATATTTTTTGTATAATGTTATTCTCGTTTTACTGAGGACAGGCAACTTTAATTGCAAATACAATCATTGACTTTAAGTGCCTTCACCCAGTGAAAGGGTGGAGGTTTTAGATAAAATGAAGGGTTGCCAACTTCCTGACGGGTTGTGGGGAGACCAAGTTTTGTGGCGGTCAGGCGTCGCAGAGCGCCGGAGAGCGCTGTGAAATCGACTCTCATGTACGTATCATTGACTTCCTCAATTTTGCATCAAACTTTCCTCCATGTGTTTAAGTACGGTCACTCACATGTATCCAGATCCTCGTCGGAGGAGATCTTTAGAGTTGTCTGTGGTTTGGCAAGCTCCTCCAACTGAGCTGTGTAAGGATTCGAGTCTGCCGAGCGATATTGCACCCGCATTGACCTGTACGTAACCGGTTTCAACGGTAGAGCTGGTTGTCCAGGGACTTCAGCATTTTTCTGCCCGCTCATAAGACTACTGGCGAGTAGCGACGCCAACAAAACTACGATCCCCTGAAATTACGTAAAAAACCACATTGGAAGAAAAATTGGTTTCATTTAGGGAAAAGTACCTATTTTCATTATGAAATTTTTTTGTAAAACTTTTTCTTACCGATTTTTCCTAAGACTTGTCGATTGTACACTACAGCTGTTTCGGGTTTTCACCCATCGTCAGGTGATTTAAAAATATAAAAACTAGAATTTTTTACGGTACGTTTTCGCGATCGCGTGTTGTTCGATGTCCGCGTCCGCGTTCGCGTTTGTGGCGAGACTGATAACCCTGGCATTCTTCCTCACTCCCTGTTATCACGTAGTAGTCCATCAAGGTGGGAGGGGTAATCACTGTTGTTATGGTACTCTCTGTCTGAGAATTAAGGATGGCTTTGGTCTTAAATCTATCTATTTCGAGTTGTTCACAAACGTTCATTTTTTTGCCCTTTTTGCATTTTCTCATCACCTTTACTTCACATTTTTCAAGAGGATGTTTTGAATCAATTAGATGGTCAGACAGAGATGAGTGGCCGTATTTCTTGTTTTTGGCATGGTTTAGATGTTCTTTGGTCCTTGTTTTAATACTTCTGCCCGTTTGTCCTATATATAGAGAGCCACATTCACATGTTATTCTGTAGATACCACTCTGTTCTAAGCTGTCTTGGTTCTCATTTATTTTGCCAGTATTTATGAGAAAGCCACCTAGATTTTTGTCGTTGTTGAAGGTCACGTTATATTCACTTTTTACAAGTTGTGTTATAGACTGGGATAATTTTTCTACGTATGGGATTGATATCCATTTTTTATTTCTATCAGGTACTATGTTGTACAGTCTCTGGTCTATGCGTTTTGACTTTTTCTTCATTAGGATTTTCAGGATGTCTTCCTTCTTGTATCCATTATTAATTGCAATTTCTAATATGGTGTTCAGTTCTTTATTGTAATCTTGTTTTGACAGAGGAATGTTGATAAGTCTATTAAGGAAACTGTGGAATCCTGCCATCTTCTGTTGCCAACTATGGTATGAGTTTTCTGGTATTATTGCATCAGTGTAGCAAGGTTTGCGGTATATGCTGACAACCTTCAACCTGACAACCAAACAACCTTCAAACTGAAAGAAGGACTGCCTATGGGAGCGCCCATCTCCCCCCTGATGGCTGAAGTATTTATGGATGATATAGACCATAAAATAGTCACGTTAGAGAAATGGAGAAACAGAATTTTCAAATATTTCAGACTGGTAGACGACTCCTTTGGCATATGGTTAGGTTCTGAGAGAGAAGCTGAACAGTTTGTGAAGGAGCTCAATAACTTACACCCAAAAATCAAGTTTAAACTAGAGTTTGGTGGCAAGAAGTTGAACTACCTCGATTTAACCATTCAAATCAAGAACAACAAACTTAAATTCAGCATATACCGCAAACCTTGCTACACTGATGCAATAATACCAGAAAACTCATACCATAGTTGGCAACAGAAGATGGCAGGATTCCACAGTTTCCTTAATAGACTTATCAACATTCCTCTGTCAAAACAAGATTACAATAAAGAACTGAACACCATATTAGAAATTGCAATTAATAATGGATACAAGAAGGAAGACATCCTGAAAATCCTAATGAAGAAAAAGTCAAAACGCATAGACCAGAGACTGTACAACATAGTACCTGATAGAAATAAAAAATGGATATCAATCCCATACGTAGAAAAATTATCCCAGTCTATAACACAACTTGTAAAAAGTGAATATAACGTGACCTTCAACAACGACAAAAATCTAGGTGGCTTTCTCATAAATACTGGCAAAATAAATGAGAACCAAGACAGCTTAGAACAGAGTGGTATCTACAGAATAACATGTGAATGTGGCTCTCTATATATAGGACAAACGGGCAGAAGTATTAAAACAAGGACCAAAGAACATCTAAACCATGCCAAAAACAAGAAATACGGCCACTCATCTCTGTCTGACCATCTAATTGATTCAAAACATCCTCTTGAAAAATGTGAAGTAAAGGTGATGAGAAAATGCAAAAAGGGCAAAAAAATGAACGTTTGTGAACAACTCGAAATAGATAGATTTAAGACCAAAGCCATCCTTAATTCTCAGACAGAGAGTACCATAACAACAGTGATTACCCCTCCCACCTTGATGGACTACTACGTGATAACAGGGAGTGAGGAAGAATGCCAGGGTTATCAGTCTCGCCACAAACGCGAACGCGGACGCGGACATCGAACAACACGCGATCGCGAAAACGTACCGTAAAAAATTCTAGTTTTTATATTTTTAAATCACCTGACGATGGGTGAAAACCCGAAACAGCTGTAGTGTACAATCGACAAGTCTTAGGAAAAATCGGTAAGAAAAAGTTTTACAAAAAAATTTCATAATTAAAGTATGGCCGATAAAGTCAACAAGAGAAGTGGTACCTATTTTCGACTTCACCACCGTTTAGAATTTTTTTTTTTAGTCAAGAAGGAAACAATACTTATATTATGAATGAAGTCACAGCTATAAAAGAGAGACCTGCTTGATACTAAGAAAATTCCCGTCATATTCATGAGATCTCGTCAGTAATTATTAAATTCATGTTATACTCGTATCTCCTGGCCGCAACAAATGCATCGAAAAACTCCGTCTTTGATCGTAAGGAAATTAATGCACGCTTATTTGATCTTCAACCATAAAAAAAACGTATGTGTATAAAATATAAATTCATTATTCATAAATGTTGAAATAATGTTCCGGACATCAATGTCATGATTTCTTGTTTCGGTCTTCACTTACAAAAATAAGGTACATTTTTCGACGCCTGCAGGAATATATCAGCTTTCTCTTCATCAATGATGTAAATTGTTGCCATAAAAGAGCCATACTCCTCTTTTTCGTGTAATCTGCAAATGAAAAATATAAATTTGATAACTTTCTTCAAAACTTACTACAAAATAGGTTAGCTATTGGACAACGACGTCAGCATGCTATTCTAGTAATTTGGGGACATTCAAACTACAGTTAGACAATTATTTCTCGAATGTATGTCTTATGTAGTATTAACAATGATAAATCTCTCTGCGAACTTGATAGAATCAATTTCCTTTACCCTTTTCATCTCGATAAATCACCTCAGATGATGCATTATGCACTGAGTTGTCAAGTTCAAAGCTTTGATTGACGGTGCCATTCTCAACTGCACCTCTTTCTCCGTCTGCAATCTCTCCAACCCTGAAAATAATAATTTGTGATGAGGAAGTTGCTCCGGTCTTGCTCTAAAATTCAACATAGGAAGCGGAAATCGAAACCTCTTTTGAAAATTGAAATTTTAAATGTTACCGCTTTTAACAAATGACCTCAAAACGCATTTGCTCTAATACATGATAACTTTACGCCATGCTTCGACGAAAACTTGGAAAGCGTGGAAAAGCCGTAAATTCTTTTTTTTTAAACGTAATTTGCATTCAAAAGCGTTATTGCCATCGCCTTTTGAATGTAGAAACGTTGACATTGAGGTGTAAGTGCCTCTTTAACTCCAACACGAGATCATTACACACTTCGTTACCTTCCGGCCAGAGTATCACGAGCACCATGCGGCGTTTCAAAATTTCCGTCGCCATTTTATTTTTTTTACAGAGCAACTTTTCGACAAAGCTGTACAAAAATGTCGCTGAATTTTGTTTGTACTGCCGATGAATTTCAGTGAAATTTTTGAACAGATTCAACCAACCATTTCACCGTTAAGAAATAAAATGGCGGCGGAAATTTTGAAACTTTGCATAGCGCTTGTGATACTTTGGCCGGAAGGTGACGACCTATCAACAACAAACTTACAGCACTTACAAGTGTTTCTACGCAAAAGATATGTATTGGATAGATGAAGGGATGAAGGGGGGGGGGCATTACTAATATCTCTATTGAAATGAAGACTCACTTGAGAAAAACTTCCTCTAAAGTGGTGCAAGCAACCGCCATACTGGCGATACCAAGCTCATCTTTCAAGGACTCGAGTTGCTCAAACATATCTGGGAGTGCATCGACAGACTCTATCGGTATGACGTACGTTAACTTAGGTCCCTCGTCACTTTTCAATTCTGCCTCTGATACGTATTCATGAACTGCCGCAGTGATTTCATCCCGATTTTGTCCGGCATCCCTCTTCTTTAAAATGTTCAGATAATAACCAGCACCTGAAACATTGAATAACTGCTTTTCCCTTTAAGTTGTCAAATACTTCTTTAAGTAGAAAAGACATGTGCACATTAAAAGATTTCTGGACAGAGGACGATGTTCACCGTCGTTTTCCTACCGGTTCTTTTTCTCACGAAAGATCTTCAGATTGCGATTACGGGATATTTAAAAATTCTTTCAAACGGCAAAATTAAAATACATTTTCTACAAGCCTTGATTAAAATTTAATACTGAAACTTTAAAGATAGACCCTTGCAAGGGCTACAATGTGTTTTTTTATCTTAAAATGAAAAAAAAATGGATATGAAGGAAATAATTAAGTGAGTTCGACAAGCACTAAGTTGTATACGGACCTATACACTCTAGAATATTGAAAAATTGGGTGCAACAGCAACGTATGTTCTCTTCATTCTTGTTACAGTTGAGAGTTTTGTCACAAATCAAGCATCTGCATAATATTTTAGTATAAATATTTAGGGCATTAAATTATGAACTATATCGAATGAAATTTATTCGCTTTTACCATATAAATTTTTCAGCATAATGGAGGTTCCAAAACACATAACTTGGCCATGATCCATGATTGCAATACGGTCCCCTAGGACGTCAGCCTCTTCCATGAAATGAGTTGTTAAAATAATTGTCCGTTCACCTCGAATACTCCGTCAAGAAAAGAAAAAACTCAAAAGAGATCTGTTTTGAACTTGTTACGTGCTCGAGAAAAAGTTTTTTCATATTAAACCGCAAAGTCAATGTACTAAAAATATTGCTATACGGCGCACACTGGATTGAGTCAATAGGAGAGGTCGGACAAAATTTGGCAAATTTAAACGCCGGTACCTCTATTTATACAATGCTTTGAGTTCTAAAAGTGGTTTCATTGGTTTTCTAGTGAAATTTTCCTTTGAAAGCACCCCTTAAAATTCAAAATATGACGAATTAAACATCAAAATTGGTACTTTTAGTCGAAAATGTCATATCTGAGCTCTCTGATTGACTCGATCCACTGTGCAGCGTCAAACACTTTTACCAAAAGAATAGCATAATTGAAATTCAAGTTACTAGCATGTATATTGTTTAAAATGGTATGTCAATTATATTTTTGTCATGGTCATTCGATTCAATCTGTAAAATTTTAGGCTGAATGATGAGGTCATATCTTACCAAGAGTAAGTTCCACATCTCTCGCCTTGATTCTGGATCCATCCCTGATGTCGGTTCATCTAGCATCAGTATCTGAAACCAAAAAATCCTTATCATTCATTTCTTCAAATGGTGACCTAATGCTGGAAAAGAGAATTCATCCAAAGTAAACTTCACTCTCTGATGCAAGCATGCATGTATTCTATGGTCACCATGCTTCATGCGGAGCGAACCTTTTCGTATGACCTTTGGAGTAAACCCAAAATTTTCACTGCAACATCTTTGGCGAAAAAATCAGTTTCATTGTCATAATTATAATAATCATAACCATACCATAACATAGCACATCTTCGAAACAGACTGGTGAGGCGTGATATAGTTTAACAGGCGACGCCTGAGTGCATGTCTCGTCTGAAAACTTAGTAATTTGTTTCAAGAAAGGATGTATGAGACCATCCGGACATTTCATTCAAACAAAACTTAAAGTGTTCCTTTGCAATTTCTTATCGAATACTGCAAAGCTTTTTCCTTCTTACTTACTTTAGGACTTCCAATTAGTGCTATAGCTAGAGAGAGCTTTCTTTTCATTCCACCGGAGAGCTTATCTGGTAGATCATTACATTTAATGCTGATATTCTGTAATTCCATCAAATGCAACGCCTCTGTATGAGCTTGTTGTTTAGATAACCCTTTTAACTAGAAAAAAACAAAAAAATAGCTGTGAGAGAAATCTTGTAAGCGATTAAACATTTAAACTGCAAACTTAGATGAGTATTCTTGTATAAATGCATAATCGTGAAAATTTTCCCTGTGCTATATTAGGAAAAGAAATCTTCAGTAGGAAGTGGAACCCGTCCAACTTTCTACCACATGCTGCCCCACGGTTGCGTTCCCTGGATGTAAATGGGGGCAACCGGAGGAATATACCGCGAGTCGGAAGTTTCTACCGACTAGTAAAAACAATCTGCCGAGGGGTAGAAACAAATATACCGATGGATAGAGACAATCTACTGACGGTGAAAATTGAATTACCGACGGGCATATTATTTCGACCCGTCGATAGATTGTTTACGATAGACGGTATCCTATTGGCAAAAGAAGGGTAGATAACCCCTGGTCTCTTTTACCCAAGTCATAGGCACCCGCGTTCCAATGACCGGCAGGAAACGGAATCCATCCAACTTTCTACTGGGCGCGCAAAGTTGAGGTCAAATCAGTTTTAAAGCTCACACAAGAATTGTCTTTGAAATCTTGTTACCCCTTAATGGTAGTTAAGAAATTTCAATTTTTTAACGAAAATATATTCAAAGCAACAAAATCTTGACTTTGCTGAGACAGGCCGTAATGAGAAAGAAAGTAAAAATTTGTACAAATTAAGCCCATGCCATCAGTACATGAGTAAAAATCGTACTGAATTAAGCATTAGCCCTTTAAATTAATAGCGCAGCAAGAATTTGTAATTTAAGCACGTATCACTAATTCGTAGGTCTTACGTTTATTGTACGTCGAATGCCAGAAAATGCATGAAAAACGTTAAAAATGATACACTAAGATAAATGGTTTTCAGATAAAAAAAAGTACAAACTAATGAGTTGGACGCAAAACTGATTAAAAATATAGTACCAGCCCGAAAAATGTAAGATGCTCCATCACGGTCAGAGTGCTGAACAACAAATTATGTTGCGGACAAAGTCCTAAATTTTGACGGAACTGCGACATGTTGTCGAAAATGTTGTATCCATCAACAATCACTCGGCCGGCGTCGGAAGGAATCATGCCTATCAAAATACATACTTCAGATAAAGTAACATAAGTTTACATACGTAGTACATATTGACGGTGAAACTACCAAACCACGTATCTCGGTTTGCGACGTCGCAGACTTCCTGTCATACTTTATTTTTTAAATAGAAAACTACTCAACGTCAGTTCGTGAAAACTTCCGTGATTTTTCCTCTTTGTGCGGAGAAAAATCTGTGAAAATTGCAAGGAGTGATATTGATTTGATCTCCTTCAAAAAAATAAAATGTGAGTGGAGATTTTTAAACACCGCAAACGAGATACGTGGTCTGGTAGTTTCACCGTCGATATGTTTTCAAATACGTTGCAACACCGTTGGAAAATTAAATTGACTGTGAATGTAAAAACAGCAGAGATTTAGTCGTACAGCAAAGAATAGAAAGAAGGATGTTAAACATATCCCAAACAGTCATCAAAGCTATGAAATGAGGAGGAAGGATAAAAATAAAAATATTTTTAAGAATGTAACTCACTTTTCTTTTTTCGATCCTGACGGTGTCTTGAATGAAATTCTGTTAGACAATGATCATTTCGAACGCTTATGAACGTTCATCCTCAGGTCTGTAGGAATCGCGAATCGCGATTTTGTCAACGAAATACGAAATTAAAACATCCTAAACTTAAAAGCTCTTTAGGCTTTTAATTACGCATTTCGTAAACAAAATAGCGATTCGCGATTCCTACAGACCCGAAGATGAACGCTCGTAAGCGTTCGAAATGATCATCGTCTAACAGAATTTCATTCAAGCCAACATCAGGACCGAAAAAAGGAAAGTGCGTTATATTCTTAAAATCCAACAATCTGATAAAGTAAGATGATGTTTAAAAAAAATTTTTTTTTTCAAGAAACAAGGCTTGTTACGCTCTCATAAAAATAACAAAACAAGTTACAAACTATACACCACGGCAATAAGTTTAGTTTTTTCGCAAAAATCTTACTTATAAAAGAGTGAGCATGACAGATAGTTTGACAAATCAAAGATATTAAGTTGAGGATGAAAGAATCTCTGCTGAAGTGTTATTAGTATTGCAGACGAATAGATGTGAAGGCGATTTTTGCCTCCATTGTGATAGAAGCATGGAAAATAAAGTGTTAAGGTTTATCCCCTAAGATTGTGGTACTGACTTAAATTGTAGGATAATGAGGACATTCCTAATTTATTGTGGTAGTACCACAACTTGGGGTAGTGCCGCAACATTTAGGTGAGTAACTTAATATGCTGGAGTACTACCACAATCGATTGGGGTGCTTTACCATCAATAATTTGAAATGCCCATATCATCCAACAACCCCTACCTCTTTTTTCCGCGAGTCACTCATAGTAAATCGTGAGTTTACAACTACGATATTAATTTACCGGTGAGCATAGACATGGTGGTAGTTTTTCCAGCTCCGTTGTGGCCCAGCAAAGCCGTGATTTCACCCTCATAAAAATTAATGGATACATCATTCACTGCAACGAACTTTTTGAACGATTTTCTCAAGTTGCGAACTTTTATCCCAGGCTTCAAGTTCGGTGGCACGCGCTCAAAATTTTTTACTTTTTCTGGATCCCAGTCGTCCTCCCTCTCTTTACTTCCTGCGTTTGACCACCAATATGATTTCTGAAATATTAAAAAAATAAAAGTTAGAAATAATAATATTAATGGTATTACGGAACCAAAATACCAACAGCTCTGATCACAGTTCTCGCTAATTCAACAAATTCTTACAGACAATTTCAATGAATTATTTTGGTTTGACTTATTTTAAGAATTAAAATAGGGTCGGAGATTTTTACATTTTGCGATAAAAATACAAATATGTTGACTTTAATGCTGTTATATTATCCATCATCATGTAGTAATGGTTCTGCGATTTCCACATTCTGTCTCTATCCCTCTCACTGGCTAGTACCTAAATTAGCCATATTCTATTACGGATACGGTCATTATCTATTTAACGTGTGACTTTACCTTCAGGAAAAAGAGCGCAGTCTCGGGAATGCCGTAAGGACCCGGCCAAACAGCATCTAGATACCAGGCAATGGTGCCAAAAATGAAGCATTGCAGTATGAAACTGCCAAAAACAACGGCCAAAGAAAAATTGTGTTCACTACTGGGCCGTGTGAAGAGGTCTGACCAATGCGCGCCACCTGTTACAAATAGAATTACAGTCAATGAAGTTAATTTGTCACCCACGTAAAACACTGAGCTGCTTAACTACAAGATTCGCAGACTTGAAAAATAGTAGAAACGGAGAAGCCGGTAAACGCAAGCAAATGTCTAAAATTGTGAGTGATGTTACTAGTTCTATAAAAACCCAAACCCTTGCGACTCATAAAATTTAAATCGGAAAATTGTCCCCACATTTTGGTCTTAACAGGTATCGTTATTTTTAGACTCCTGTAATTCATTCAACTGAGACAAGCTGTTGAACAATCGCAGCAACACGTGATAACATTTCACCAGGTTTTTGATCACCACAATTCAAATATCACCCCTGTAAAAATTATTATCACATCAGCAGCAGCTGATCGTTGAAATGAAACAGTAGCGTGCTTTGCGATAAATTGATTGATCTGCCATTTAAACCTATGGAAAATGATCGATTAACAGGGTGTTCGCTCCGAACAGCCTAACAATCGATTCTTTCCTATAGCTTCAAATGGGGAAATATTGAAGATTAATCACTCACGCCTCGCTACTGAAATCAAAAATAACTTATGAATGACTCTCGTCATCGATGCCTTTGACCCGGTCCTATGACTTGCACTGCCGTGCTGAGGGAGAACGCCGTATGAACATTCAAGAGTTCACCGAAAAAAATAATATGCTGTTTTAGCACCTAGGATGTTAAAAATGTGTCTGGTGATCCGGACTTGTTGTCTTTACTGCCCTCGCAGTTAACTTTACATCCTGTGAATGCAACTTTAACTCTGTAGGCGGTTGCAGCATCTTGAGATCACCAGACACATTTTTAACATCCTAGGTGCTAAAACAGCATACTATTTTTTTCGGTGTTGCCAAATTGCCTGTGATAAAATGTTTAGTTTTGAGGAAAGTTATGAATATTTCTCCTTGAAATTTTCAGGAACTTTAGGTAAACTGACGACAAATTATCTAAAAAATTGGAAGGAAAGTATTCATAAGTTTACCAGGAGATTCGTGTTTTATCAAAGGAAATTTGGCAACGCTTGGAGGTTCTTGCGGCGTTTTTCCTTAGTACGGCAGTTTAACTCACCGAAGCGAAAGCGATCGCCGAAAACTTGCAATGGGCCTGTCGCAAACTTTTGTTGGAGCAAAAATAGGAGTTAACTCCATCAGTTAATGTCCCAAGACTCTCAATGAGCGCATTGGCAAAGTTTGTAATGCACCCCCAACTTCACGATCTGCGTAAGAAATTTGCGTTTGTTTGAGCCTCCCGCCTCAAAAATGATACAACGGCACAGGTGAACATTTCGTGCGTTCCTTATGATTTTCGAGACATTTACCGATAGAAACAACTCTTATTATTGCTCCAACAAAAGTTTGCAACAGGCCAATACTGGATTTCTTACTTAAAACAATCGATATTATATTTTAAACACACTGCCTTACCTTTAGACTCGTTATTCATAATGGATTTAAATGGTTGAAACAATGTCACCAACTTTGCAAATGCGCACCAATGACAGTTTCCATGCTTGAAATTACAGCGGCGCACGAGAAATATTTTTCATCGTGTAGCCTAAAAAATACACAGCATCCTCCCCGTCCACATAAAAATTGTTTTAATAAGAACGGTAGGTTGAGAGGTATGATCTATGAATGACAATTGCGATGATACGGATAAAATGTGTGAAATTAAATTTCGAGGAACGTCCGATTCTGAAGACGAGTTAGACCTTGTTCACTCCAGCACGTATTGCGAAAAATTCGGATGAACTTATTCCCGGAACTTCTTACAGCTTAACTTTAAGTTATTTCGCGAACCCCAATGCGTTGAACTAATTTGCCCAAGAGTTCCGCGAACTGGGCTCGTGTGGACAATGCCGATGACTCTGAGGTGTTAAGGGGCTTTAATTACTTCATTGATAAAAACAAAGGCATGTTGTATTTCAATCAAATAACCCTCTCGACGAAAGAAAAAAAAATCATGGGATTACCTTAAAACTTAAGAGGAGAAGAGGAGAAAGGATGAGAAGAAGATGAAAAAACACAGAAGATATTTAAATATGCCACTTACCTCTTTCTTCAAAGTAACTGAATGTATCCCAGCCTCGACGTAGAGCTACGTTAGGTATCAAATATAAATATTTATCGAGGAATCCGAAGTCCGAATCTTCCGGTATTTCTAATTTGTAAGCTATGCCGGTCATTGGCCATAAGACGTTGGCAATGCAAATAGCCAACGTCGCTAATAAGGAGAGAGAAAAATATGGAATAGTTGAGATCTAATACCAAATACGAATCCAAGTAAACTTTACACCGATTCCCGCTCACTGCAATAGGAAAGTGTATACCTCTGAGTGTTTGTGCCGGGTTTAAATTAGAGGTTGCATGCACTTTAAAGTTAAAAGTCGTATCAAATGAGCTTGAAAACTGAGATAACCAGTATAGTATTATTTACGTAAAGTTAGCGTGAAGCATGCACAAGTGGATTGCATTTTGCAAAAAGGAACTAGGAGCCTTGCAACGTCGCTACGATTGTGTAAATTCTTTTGTCCTTTAAGAAAACCTGAACATTTTCTATTTTGCATGCTAAAAACTGTTAAGACTGTTTAAGACAAAAATGTCCATGTAAATGACATATTTTTGCAAGATTATATTAGTTTTATGGCAAAGGTGAAGTTGCAAAATCTAAGCAACACGGCAACGCTCCTGGTTCCTTTTTGCAAACAACAATCCAAATATGAGTCTCTGAAATGTAATTTCAAAACGATTGCTCAGAGCTCATAGTAATATAATTGGACCTCATTTTGCAACTCGTATACTGTTTTTGGCTCAATTTAGAAAGAACGTAGTTAGTTATCAGATAGTAGTTATTAGTTTCCTAATGTGCATAAGTGTTTTTACGGACGAACCAAAAACTATAGTTCTTAATTGCAAAATGCAATTCAATTGTACTTGTGTAGGAACAAAATATTTTTCGGAAATATCGTTCAAGCCTCTTTCAATATACTGTGGCATCTACGGAGGGTGATCGATTCTCATTTGACTACGTGATGTAGGAATGGCCAAAAACAAAATCAATCATCACCATTGGTGACGTTTCCGACTATCTGTCATACTTTATTTTTTCTTTGGACATTAGTCAGCATATTCTCGCGGAAACTCCCCTGTTCTTCCTTCCTCTTTTAGCAGAGTAGTCTGTACAAACTAGCTTTGAAAGTGACTTATGCCTCGTCGAAAATTGAAATAGTGACGGAAATTTTGAATCATCATAATGAGAGTACGCCAAGTACGGGGTTTCGCACTTGGCCTTAGGTTTGATTCGTTTTAGGCTGAAAGGGAAGATGTTGACTTTCAGGGGCAATTACTTTGTAATATCCTTCGGTTAGATACTTTGTTAATGATAAATTTTTCCAATAGAGATTTTTTGCTTTCATTAACTCAATGCAGTATTGGAATTGTTGACAGTTTAATAAAATAAAACTTACGCCTTTTGAACATTGGACAGAGACAAAATGCGTAGCCAATAGCAGCATAAATGTAGAACATTAAAAAAACCCAAAGTACAGTGGCTGAGGCCAGGAGTGGAGGTTGGCCAAAAATAGAAACCGTGAGAAGAAAAACACAAATTGTAACAGCAAAAATGCTTGTCATAAGAACACCCATTATCCAGCCAAGCCAGTTCATCCAACCTTTCAGACCCATCATCTTCATCAGTTCCTGAAATCAAATTTCACTTCGCTATGATACCAGAATTTCTTGATTTTTCTTTTTATGAAATACAGTCAAAATTGTGTAAAACATTACACTTTGATCGAAACATGATTTGTCTAAAATTTGGAGTAGGGACCTTCGGAAATTCAGGTCTTTGGGCAAAAACTAAACATGTTACCATTTAAATTAAGGATTGGTTGTTGGAAGCGTAAATGGGAAATAGTCGCAAAAACACCCAAGGCTTAATTAAACTCCAGGGTGAATGGAGTTTTATCAATCCTCTTCTAGACGCACCTCGTTCTCTGAATTCGTTTTGTGCTTGATTACCGTTTGGTGATAGGAACTTATCTGCAAAGGAAAATAAATTGAAAGAAGACATTTTATCCACCCAGAGCCATATTCTCGGCAATTTAACGCTTGTTTTCAATTTGCCTAAAGGCTTTTTGTAAAAAATTACCTCAACCTAGTTTTCATTACAGTAAATATGAATAGGTTTCATCCACATGATAGATGAGCTCTTTTAAAAAAATTCAATTGAGCTGTATCTCAATCGCGTAACTCTATCCAACTTTTTGATGTCCAGTTGCTCGAAGGCACGCCTTGTCGCCATGACAAGCAAGTAGATAACCCTGATAACTCGTAACTTTGTTCCTGTCTTTCTTATTGTTTAGATACTTACACGTATCATGTGAATATGCTTTCAAAAGGTTTGTATTTATATCTTACCTTTGCTCCAGTTTCCTTCTCGGAGATCACGTTCTTCAAAATGAACAAAAAAATGAGAGTGACGAGGAACATGCACCAGCCAGGCAAAAAATCGGTTACTTTAAAAATCGCAACATCTTGACTTGTTCGAGGCGAAGGGAATTGCTTTATTAATATCTAAAATCGAGAAAAAATATGGGCTTGGTTATTTAATCACATACAAAACAATAGATTCGATACTATTTTGAAAAGTATTGATGTACTTACCTGCATACAATCTTGTCAATTGAGCAACAGGTGCGACGGAAAAAATTGCTATCCAGAAATGACCATGATCTTTTGGTAGTATTTTTTACTTTTTAAATTAAAATCATCCCGTGTTGTTATTGTTTTTTCCACGAATTTTTGCAATTGTAAGTTATGAGCGATTGAGTTTATTTTGATCATAGTAATACTGTTTTATGTTCACTGAGATGTCGTTTCTTAATCGAAAATTGTGGTATCCAGCAGAAAAACTTTACGGAAGCTGCCAAATTTCTGCATCGCGAGTTATAGAAGATATCATAGCTTGCGATACATCCTTTGATTTTTCCTTCCGCATAGCTTACTAAAGAACACCGTCGCTTCTTACGCAACTATTACAAGACCGGATCATCTGTTGCTAAATTTTACTAGACATTTGTTTTACAGAAGTACGGGATTGAAAATTATTTCTTTAAAAAAAACTGTCCCATGAAAGAAAGCAGACTGTTTCACTTGATTCTCTGACGAAACAATTGGTCATATGATATGAGTTCCTGCTTTGTATTGATCGAACTATTAAGTATGCAAAACCGAACTTTCTCGGATTGAACTAAACCAAAAAAGGAGGTTCAGTCCTGCAAATTGTGAGCTCAGTTATTAAGTACAAAAGTAGAGCGTGGCAAACTGCAAAGTCTAATCGATACAGTAAACCAAACGTTTGGTTTCAATAATTGAACTTTTTTATTCAGTAAAATTCTAACTTAAGATCAAGCAAGTGGGACCAACCAATTCTTTACCAAATAAAAAAAAATGATTTGCCCATACATAATACTGCCGTGCTAGGCAAGAACGCCGTATAAACATTTGAATGTTGCCAAATTTCCTCTCAGCAAATATTTAACCGTGGGGAAAATTACGATAATTTGTCCTTGCAATTTTTCGATTTTTTAGATCAAATTCGAGCAAAATCCTCTTTATGATTAGAAGAGGAATATTCATAAATTTACCCGGAAATTCCTGATTTTCCGAAGGAGATTTAGTAACGCCCGAGGGCGTTCAACGTTTTTCCGTAGCATGGCAGCATACTTCAAGTCTTCCTGAGTCATTGCGAAAACAATAGAAGTTACTCACCCGGGGTACAGAGACACCAGCATCGCGGGCAGTCAATCTCAGGAAAGCCTCGTTTAGTGCCAAGTTGATTCCCACGAATCCAAAGCTCAAGTAAGCAGGATAGACACCTGGCAACAAAATCTACACTAAAAAGCATCCGGAACGCACTAAGAGCGATGAAATTACCGGCTCAAATCAATCGGTTTCCCAAAATATTAGCAGGGCTGAATATTTTAACTTGACATTTGAATAATTTCCGAGGGTGGTAACAAACAGACCAGGCCTTTGAATTGTTTAAAGTGTAAGTCCGTAGCCTCGTATCTCGGTTCGCGACGTCACAGACTTCCTGTCATACTTTATTTTTTAAATGAATAACCACTCAACGGTAATGCTTAAAACTGCCGTGATCTTTCTTTCCAGTGACCAAAAAATTCTACAAAAACTTCAAGGAATGATGTCGAATTGTCCCCTTTACAAAAATTAAGTAGGAGCAGAGATTTTCAAGCACCCCAAATGAGATACGTGGTTTCGGACTTAGGCCGTCGTTGTGTCTATTTACAAACATATCTGAATATTAGAATGAATTCTCTTACATGATTGGATCTTGCTCCACTATTCTACCTTTCCTTTATGGAGTTTTTAAAGAATTTATGCGAGTTGCTTTTTGGAGGAAAAAATCCAGAAGCAGCATCGTCTTCCTCATTCAAAGGGACTCAAATTATTATTGAAGTTTCGCGTGAGTTTCCATCACTCATTGAAAAGTAGGTATCATCAGAAAATCAGAAGGAGGTATTCTGGTACATTGTTTTTTAAAGGATAAAAGTAATCGGGAATTTCGAATCGTTGCGATGAAAATACGCATATTTCGACTTCAGTCATCGGTATTATCTCTTCTTTCAGAGCCAAAAAAGCCTGTTTTTTTAAAGAAATTTCATCTGTTTGTAATAAGTGCTAAACTTACCCCAGACTTGAAGACCAGTTGATATGAACAATTGATCTGTTTCTAACATGCTGGTCACAGGGCGAATGACAAACTCCAAATTGGTTGGTAGCTCTTCGGGGGTGTTCGGGTTTATGTTAGTGAAGTGGATTCCGAAACCGGGGGCGAGGTCCCTCAAAGGGTTGAAGAACTTACGACGGAAAATGTCCTCTATCTCCTCCTCCGAGTCAGCAGTTGACACGTTGAATTTCCGATCTGTATATACGATGAGTTCGAAGTGACAGAAAATTGTATTTACGATGAAAGATCGTACCAAAATATAAAACTAAAATAAAGGCAAACTTTATGGCAAGGTTTCACGAGTATTACGGTGCTTTAAATCCAGTGGCGTGGCATGAACTGCGATTTATCGATTGTTATGTCATTGAAACCTATGGTAAAGAATCGATTATTAAGGTGTTCACTGCGGATACAATGTCTATATCGATCCTTTTCCATGGGTTTAAATGACATAACAATCAATATATCGCAAAGCACGCCACGCCGCACGGAAAAAAATGACTGTGCGCGGATAACCATCTTGGTTTTGTTAATTAAAAGTTGGTGTCGTATACATGAAAAAATTGATAGAATAACCAACGGCATTGTATTGTCCACAACGTCTTCAGGGAAATCAATCATTTTCAATTAGTTGCTACTAGCTATTACAAATCTGTTCACCGAGACAAAATTGATGGTAAACTGCTCCATCAAGTCGACTCATTGCACCAAAGAGTGCGCTTGCGCTTCACCTTGTTTTTGGTTGATGCTACTCGGTTAAGTGGGCTCATTGAACTACAGAATGCGTTAGTGCAAATTATAAACTTGTTGATTATGAAGGTCACCATCTCAGATAACTCAATTAAAGTACTTTGTTAGTAGTCTGCCCCGTCAATTTTTTACGCCTTACCAACATTGAGTCACCAAAGAAAGCAATCAGATATGGGCTGATTAGGGAAAGTATGTTGATAAATTTTCAAGAATTCATATTCAACCCACCTTGTGTGACTGATAAGCGTGTAATAATATGTTCGTGGGGCGTACTCCTTTTCCCGTCCCTGGCTCGGGCGACGGTAAAGTCGCCGCAAAACTATATGACTTCGCGCAATTAATTATTCCTGACTCTGCTCGGTTTTAATGATATAATTAAGGGACATTTATAACGACAATTCAAAAACTCGAACGATGTCAAATTTTTCACTGATTTAAAAAAAACGGATTGAAACGAACTAAAATATTCATCAAAACCAAGAATTATTTCATTCTAAAAATAAAGTATGCCTCATATCGTAATTTTTGAGGGGACAAATAAAACTAACACTGATAGGAGGTAGAAATAGGTGCCAATTAGGCCACGCCCGCCACCTCGGTTTTTCGAATTTTCGAAATTAGACTAAAAATCCGAATTTAATCGATGGAATGGGAGCCGATGTATCAATTTAGGCTACGTTCGCCGTCTTAAATTTTCAAATTCAGAAAATTCAACTTGAAAAGCATCATACCCAAAATCTAAGCTCAGATTCGGCTTCCTCGTGAAAAATCGATGCTATTTCATGTATCATATGTTACCATAGCATAAAGAAAAGAGGGTAATCGTAGGCGTGAAGATTCTATCAAAGCCGGCCGGTTTGCGGAAGTAGGCACAGAATTCAAACGTTTGAGCTACGCCGCCAGGCGCCGGCGTCAAGCATTTGGTTCGTCCGTTTCCGAGAAAACAAACTTCTTCTTACTCATCAGCTGACCCACTCCGAATCACCCACGTTGCCACGTCGGACTGATATGTTAGAATCTACACGCCTACGTTAATCTCTTTCCTTCGTGATATGGTGACATATGATACATGAAATTGCATCGATTTTTCACGAGGAAGCCGAATTTGAGCTTAGATTTCGGATATTATGCGTTTTAAGTCAAATTTTCTTATATCTATTTTAAATCACTCAGGAAAATTTGCGGAAACTCAGTAGAATAACAGTGTGTATTCTTTTAAAAAAATTGATCAAAAATAAAACATTGACGGTATTTGAATCCATTAATCTCCGAGATAACTTGAACACGGTTGTTCTACGACTTTTTACGTATGTTCTTTTCTTCCGCATTGGTTGTCGGCAGCGTAGCGGCCAAAAGCCCCTGGTACTAATAATAGTTTTCAAAATCAATTTTTTTCTACATTCAAAATTCCGAGGAATGGACAGAAATTTATCAATTGTTACTAATGTTTTAACAATGTTTCTTGTCAATTGTATGCTATCGTTAAGCTAAACATCCCAGGTTTACCAGTAGGCTAGGCATGCACTATTGTATTTAACACCATGTCAAGGTCTCAGTACTTTAGAGGGGTAATTTTTTTATTTTCTATTCTACATAATCTCACTTGTTCAAGTAAGTAGCCCGGGCTTATTTGTCCAATGCTAGAAGCACTTTAGCCAATCATAAAAATAATCCCAGTTTGAAAATTTTGAATTGATTCTTGACATGAAAAGAAAAAAAGAAAAAAATAGATAAATAAAATGCAGTTATAAATAACAACGCAGAGATATTTAATGAAGTATAAAAATTAAAATGAAGTGACTGAATTAAAGTAGAAAAATAAGAAATTGCAAGAAATAAAATAAAGTAAGTAACGGTGAAATACAGGGAAGAAATAAAGAATAAATAATCAAAGAAAAATAATATTATGTAAAGAAAAACAATAAAGTACGAGTAAGACATTAAAATTAAGTAAAGAAACAAAGGGAAAAAAATTAAAATAAAGTAAATGAATAAAAAAGAAATAATCAAAGAAAAATTATATTACGCAAAGAAAAAAAAATAGGGTCTTCGGCTAGGGTTAGATAGGTCCCAGGTTCAATCCCCGCGGTAGGCAAAAAAATTTGATAGGTTGAATACGACTACAGCACCTCACAATAAGTACTGTAGTCTCATATCACTCGATTTCGAAATTTATTTACGCGATTAACCCTTTTCCACCATCCCCTAGCTGCGAACCCCGACATTGCACACCTTTGTATTCAATTTGTTTAGCTGCGCGTTTCACAAGAAAATACTCCTCTTTATGGCTAAAAACATAAAATATTAGGTTCTCCTTGCTTTCATGATTGATACACTAAACATCCGGATGGGTCAGTTTACCATCTATGAAGGTCTATCTCAGCAACGTTGTGCGGGACGTCTACGGAGGACGGCGCGCCCGCCTGGCAGTGTTGGTGCGAATTACCGTCTTTGTTGTCAACGCCTACCTGATCGCGGTTTGAGGTTTCTAACCATCATACATTTGTGCTCGTAGCAAAATTGTTTTCAGGGGTCGAATCTGGGAATCCAAGATGGTAAATGTCACCTACTATCTGGCTATAAGCACCAAAGATTTTTTTCCGTGCACTGTTTACATCATGAAATCACAACAAAAAATCCTCTTTACCCAGGAACTATCATCAGAGGTTACAAAAATTAGAAGGAAACAAATAAAAATAAACTCAAGTAAATGCCAGGTTTACACTTCGATGCCATAAAATTGTTTTATACACAAAGCCCCAAGTCCAGTGAAATTGACTAGTATTTTAAATACATTGATTTTTATATTTTTTCAAGTTTCATCAATGCCACAAATGGACAGAGTTTATCAGAAAGGAACCAACTCACAATTTCGAAAAAATTGAGTTAAGAATGTTTTTGAGTTCCACTAGCCGTATATTTTCTTCTGCCGAAAACTGAAAGTCGAAAGACAGAAATTAGTTTCTGGAAAGAGGGGTTGGTGTTTATTCTCTAAATTTAGCCTTATGCAGGAATATAACTTCAACCTTCTTTTTCTCAGTTTTAACATAATGTGGGTTGGTTCCTTTCTGATTAACTCGATGCAAATATTCTATGTTTTTGAAGGTAAATGAAATATATATTTTTCTCTTTTTTTGAAATTTTCACCTTTTTGGTAACATACTGGCACTTTCAGAACTCCACTTCTCTCCTCATCCGTCATATATGTATAACTCCTCTGCCGAGATGGCTAGGTCTATTGTACCCAGCTTGGAATTTCTAGGGGTAGTCGTTAAAAAAAAATCCCTGACACTCGATTTTTTAATTTTTTTTTTTTTTCAATTTGGTGTCCGAATCAGTTTTTAAGATATACTTGTAGGCCTATGTCTAAATCTCGGGTGGGCCGGCCCCTTACGACCCGCACCCCGCAGATCACGTGTTTTTAGCAAGCCCTGGGCCAATTTGAAGCGGTTTAGGCATCTAACGATTAGTAAACAAGGTAGGGCTATATACATATATGATGGAAAATGATCAAGACCTTGTTTTGAATATCTACCGAACGAACTGATTTTAATCTTCAATCCTCTGATTTTCATTTGACTGTCCTTGATACGCATTTTGTATTTAACTCTCACTAACCTGTATCTTTGGTCTTGTCCTGTAAAATCGACACCATCTCATTGACCAATCGTTGGGTGGCTCTGCTTTGAGGAGTGTATACGATATTGATTACATCTTTGAAATCCCAAAATCCATTTTTAGTGACGAAATCGTCACTGTACGTGGGCCAGATTGTTTCATTCGTGGTAATATGCTCGAATGTATTTCGTGCACCGGTGTAAGCCACTAGTGCAAAGGCCAGAGTCGGCAGGAGGATCTCAAACAAAGAGGCCAGCCACTGGTGTCTACGGATGCACGTGTTTCTATAGTGCAAAACTCGGATTTGTCTCCAAAGACCCATGATGCACCCCATGTACGTGCACTGAGAGAGAGAAAAAAACACACATTAGCCTTTACCGATAATGAAAGAGGGGACCTTTTTCTCATAGACAATATATTTTAGAGAACTCTTACTGAGAAAAGCAATGTAAGTGTAATCGAGTGAGGCAGAAGTTTTTAGAGTTGAACTCTGTTATTTTCCTGTTAATGGTTGATGACCAACTTGTTGAGCGTCATAACAAAATCAAATTAAGTTGTTGTAATGATGACTGATGAATGTCGGGGTGAGCACTTTGCTAAACGAGTTTTTGCAAAGGTTAGGATATCGCTGAACAACTCTTTGGTCATCTGTGAGGTGAATCTGAGCGTTAACTTTCAAGTGTAATCTTTACACTATGTGACAGATAGAAATGCTAGGTTCCTAAATTATACTGCTGTCTTTGCTTGGTCCACAAAGACTCACAATTGTATTATTGAAACGACTGCAACATAGAGGCTTGCTTCCCGAATATTATTGGACAAAAAAAAGACAAAAACTGTGAAACAAAACTGATGGAACAATAATTTGAAATTAGCAATTCAAAAAAATTTGTTAAAAAAAAGTCTAAACTTCTAATTTGGCATCTTCAGGTCACCTGAAAGCCAGTGATCTCGGCACTGTCTCAAAATAATCAATGCGTGTAAAATGGCCTAATTTTAAATTTAAATCGCAGTTTTTGTCTGCATGAGCGGGGCTTGAATCAGAAATACAGATTGTACGACCTAAAACTATAGTGACCATAGTAGGTACGCTGGTACGCTCTATGATTATGTCTTTTTTTACCTATGAAATTGATCCTAGATCACCCTGTATCACTAGAAAACATTCCATGCGTGCTGGGACTATATCAATGTTTAACTGTAGAGTCATGACATTTATCTTATCTCAGCAATGTTTGTACATACGTCTACAGATTGACGCCGCCACAACACAGGCACACTTTCCAAATAAAATGTCTGGGTGAGTGCGCGTCATTGAATAGTGGGCCGGAAGTTCACCTGCAAGTAATGTTAAGTCCATACGCGTGGAGTGTACCATCGTTTACCAAACGTCGAACTAAATGCGGGGCCCATTTTAAAATAAGCGCGAAAAACCATCTCGAATTTATCTCGGACAAATTGCCTTGCATATCTCCGCAAATCGGTGCAAATTGGTGATTATTTTTTTCGGAAAGTTTGTGCGGGCACCAAAAATATGTCCAAAATTTTATTTTGGGGGAGAAGCAATTTTAAAAAATTGTTGTTCATACTATAAAAATTATCGTAAAGTATCACAACATTTTATGATCTTTCACGATATGTTAGAACATATAGTTGAAAGTACTACCGGTTTGATCGAAAAAGTATATTAAAATTATTTTTGTGATAAAGTAGTCATGAAAATGTTCGAAACATTTTTTTGAAAACTTTTTTGCAATTTAGTTTTCGTTGAGATTATTTTAATGATCTTGAAAGCATTTTTAAAATATGTCTCATTTCCCAGAATGCGTAGCGCCGAAACTATCGCATGAAAAAGCAATTCGCCAAGTTTTGTTTGATAGAAAATGGTGACTGATTTCTACTTGACTCAACTACTTACTGGCCATGGAATCTTTAAATTCTATCTTAATAGGTTCAAGCTTGCTCAAAACCCAAACTGTATATTCTGTACTAGGGAAATCATCGATGACGCGAAGCATACCTTTTTTGAATGTGACCGCTTTGTAAGACATAGGCTAGAAATCGCTGCTGACCTGGGAGAAGACCTGAAAGTGGAAAATTTTCAACGCATTGCCCTTAAAAGCCTGGCTTCATGGGTCAGAGTAAAGCGTTTTGTCAAGGAAGTGCTCCTGGTCAAATCTCTTATCTTTGAAGCATTAGAGTCATCATAATTTGTAATTGTAATTAATTGATTACTGTTAGTTAACATTTTATTATTATATAACTTATCTTGCTCTGCAGAGAATACTTAATTAACTATCTGATGCTTTACTTCCACTAAACCTTCCAATTTTGGTAGGTGGGGAGAGGGGACTGACGATATGCTTTAATATGATTCCGGTGCTCTCTCTCTTTAATCTTGTCCTTCTCAAATACGCCGTATAAATTATCTGCCTTCTCTTTATGTTTGTTAAAGCCTGGCTATCATGTTATGTTAAATGTAAATTTTTCAAAAAAGGAAACTTAAATAACAAAAGAAGTTTTGTTTGATCCGTTCGAAAAATTGATAAACGATGGGTTGCTTAATAGCCTTGCCGCATAAACGTTCGCATCACAGCGCATTCGGTGCACGCGTTATTTGGTTCGCCATTCTGAACGGCAGAGGGCGCCCGTAAAAAGGCTAACTCTTACGTTACCGTGCTAAGGAAGAACGCCCTATGAACCTTTAGGCGTTGCCAAATTTCCTTTGGTAAAACACGAATTTTCGGGAAAACTTGCAAATATTTTCTTCCTTTTTTTTAGATAATTTTTTTCGCAATTGTACCTACAGTCCTTGAAAATTTTTCGGAAGAATATTCATAACTTACCTCAAAAATAAACATTTTATCGAAGGAAATTCGGCAACTCTCGAATGTTGATACGGCGTTTTCCTTAGCACGGCAGTATGGCGGAGCAATCAATGAATGGATTTGTCTGTTATTAACGAGTGCTTTGTACGACTTATGAAATGAATATGAAGTTGTAAAATCGTGAGAACGTTGCGATGGATTTGCGTGCTACGGGATATTTATCCTACGTGCTTACCCAAAGCTCGTCAATATATATTTTTTGAAATTGCTCTTTCCTCCCGTATTTCATACAGGCATTTAAAAACTTTCTCATATTGCTTGTTGTTGCCCTACGGCCACAAGCTTTTAAAGCTCAAACAGTTGGCGTTGGAGTTGAAATTTTGAAGTAAACTGCAAAATGAGTCTCATTGTTTTTATTCCAACGCCAATCGCTTATACTTGTATCAAAATCGGGGGAAAGATAAGTTAATACAGCAGATAGTTCAATTCAAATTGTCCGAAGCATGGTACAAATGATTGCCCGCACTCGCCGCTTTTGAAGGCGCCGGACAAGAAATCGAGGTCTCAACACCAGAACCAGGTGTTTGAATTATATATTTTCAAAATTTGGGGTATTTTTTACGTGCAACGGAAATAAAATAGGTGTACATCACAATTTTTTTATTCATATGTGATTGCTTTTGCACGTTAAGAACAATTACATTTCAAACCGAATCACTGATTTAAGCTCTAAAAATTGAATATGTAAGCACATAAATCTTGGGATAGTGCAGCTGGATCCCCAGTTTTGATAACAAGTCACCAAGGTATAGATCGGATTTTCTGGGCTATAGAGTTAAAAAGTATAAGAAACACAACTCAAGTTGATACCAACCGATTCCGTCAAGTTGTTGCGCACATGAAAGTCTTAGTTCACACGGGAACCATCATAACAACTAAATAAAAAACGAGACCAACGTGTTGCCCATGCACACCTCACTTAGAAACGAACTTCACACCTGTCAGCTCATCTTATCTTTGGAGATACCTACTCCATGGCCGATATCATTTTCCCTATTATTAGTGGGAGTAATAGAAAAATTCGCGGAATCGATGACGACGGGCCCTCAAAAATAAACGAGATTATCGATTGAGCTATCGAATTACCTCTGTCAAGACGCTACACAGTGGATCGAGTAAATAAGATAGGTCGGACGAGATTTGGAAACTTTAAAAGCTCATAACTCCGTTTATGCAAAACTTGGAGATTCTAAAAGTGAACCCATTGGTTTCCTCGTGAAATCTTCTTCTAGTTGCATACCTTAAAATTGAAAATGCGTCGAATTAAACACCAAAATCTGCAGTTTTAGTCAAAAATTTCATGTTCGAACTCTCTGATTGACTCGTTCCACTGTGCGCCATGGCGTCATGGCGCGCCATAAAGGAAGTAACGCAGAGGTGACAAGACTCACTTGATGGCTGTTCCAGACTACTTCAAGCGGTGACATATGATATAATTAATCAATATTATGCATATTTTAATTCTCATTGAAGCGGCACGTGAGAATCGGACCAACCTCTTTCCTCTCTTAGTATAATTTGGGACCCGAGTTTACAGTTTCATCTAGGAATTATGTTTTTTCTCTGGACTTCAATTCAAAACTCACAATCACAGATTGGTGTTCGGCTTTTACTGGTGAATTTGTACTAGATAGAATCCTGAAATGACCACGTTCATTGACTTCATTTGAATTTCTCAAACTCATCAGTTTAAAAATCGTATTCATAGTCGTTTCTTAAAGAGATCCTTTCCCAACGGAAGCCTCGTATGTTTCTATTTCGACTGAGCAAGGTATAAAAAATTCTCGATTAGAGCATCATAAAATGGACAAAATCGCCGAACTTTGACCGCAATTTTACGATGTAAAGTTGTTAGTCGATCCTCAGGAGGGATTATGATGATCACTGAGAAAAAGCTATGGCTTATAAACCAATTAGTGGTTCATATGGAGCACCACTAATAGTAGTAAAGGCAACATATAGCAGTAGCACATATACCTTAGTGATCGTACGAGATACCTTTGTATGGTATGAGATATCTTAGTATATGGTACGAGATACCTTTAGTTAGCTTCACAGACCGATCGTGAGTCACTAGTCCATTTACGACTATTAGTAGTGCTCCATACGAACCACTAATTGGCTTATAAAGCCGCATATTTTTTTCCATAATTTCCCACTGCTAAGCGTATAAAATTCGTAAGAAAAAACGTAAGATTTCGACCAAATTTTAGATAGGTACGAACCTACCTTAAAATTTTCAGAACCCAAAATGCATTCTCCTCTATATTTTGTATTTCATGCAGCGGTCAATCATTTTAATCCATTGCAAACATTCATTACTCAAGGTTTCGGAATATTGTCCTTTTAATACTGCTATATTTGAAGCTTCTTTAAAGATATGTGAGTGACAATGGACACCACATGCCTCCCAAAGGAAATGTTTTGTTTAAGAAACGACTATATAAAGACGGGTCCAAGGCTCCGGTATGGAATCCAAGTACCACACGATTTATCGTGGGCACTACCTTAAGGTAGTCCTGGATCTCCAAAGTTGGGTCTCTTCCAGTTAATGCCTAAATCCAATGTTATGACGCATTTGGCACAATTTTATTGGCGTCATAAAGTAGCCGGGTTTCATCCCGCCTCTGTATGTGTCACTTATGAACATAATTATTCGAATAAAATGCATACAGCTCCTGTTGCAACGCTCCAAAATACCCGTTTGTGTTTACTCTTTTTACTAAAAAGCCAACCAAGATAACATTGTTTTTACATTTTTCCCAGAGACAGACTCAGGAAAACTCTCAAAAAATTTAGTCGCTTGATTATTTTTTTTTAGGAATATGAAATATTTGGTGGATATTTGCAACTTTGTGATCAGGAAAATACATCTTCAAACCTCATCCATCGATATATCAAAATCATCAAAATGTTATTTTGGTGCGCCTCATCAAATTTCAGGACCTACTTTGATTAATTAGACTTTTCTGAGCATTTTTTGATGAAATAAAAGGCGATCCACGCGGAAAAATTGAATATTCCTGATTTAACAATTAAATTTTTAAAATATATGTCCAACATGTTTCAAATTTACATTTTACAATAGTGAAAAGCTGAGTTAACCACGGGAGTGGTTAAATTAGTATTTTTTTAATTGTAAAATCTAGATTGAAACATGTCAGATACAAATCAAATACAAAGTTAATTTATCAGCAACATGATTTTTTCCGTGTTTTAGGTACCTATTAATATTCTTTGATCATACGATACAACTTCAAAACTGATTTAGAGTCTTCGAGTAGTGCTAACAAGATTAAGTGATGATCGCCTTAGAGAGAAGAAGATAGGTTCCTCTCTACGCCGCATCAGACACGTACACCGCATCATCAATCATTCGGCCAATTAAGATGCATAAAATTAATGAAATTAATATTGTGCTTGAAGAGGTCAGTGACGATCCTGTCACGACACTTTGGGTTCTGAGTGCGTGACGCTTCACATCAAGACCAGTGTTATAATTCAAGATCGTCACCAACGTGGGTGATATCATCAACAGCTTGACACCCGATTACGCTTTGTAAATATCCGGCCACGTTGCAGAATTCCTCCATCTGAAAGAGAAAAGTCAAACGAGAGCCGAGGCAACTTTTCATACCCGGCTTAATGCCATGTCCAAAACTTCTTCAGCCCTAGAAAAAGGTCCAAGACAATCAACACTCTTGCAAGGGGCCCGATTATTGAAATTGATATACAGAGTTATAGACAAAGGAGACATAGGGAGTATTGAGCGATCCTATTGGTTGAAATGGGTGGTTCCTATAGACTAAGGGGGTAAATAATGGACTAACTAAAGGGTTTCTCGTGGGTTTCCGTTAGTTAGTCAATTCCTTTCCTCCTTTGTCCATTGCAACCACCCACTTCCTCCAAAAGAATCCCTCCAAATCCCTTTTGTCTTCTTTGTCTATAGCTTTGTCTATTAATTTCAATGATCGGCTCGCAGTCCTGAATTAGCGTATTCAAATGGAATCGTACCTTGGTCCGACACAGAATCAGAAACGCAACAGGCTTAAAAGTCAGGGAATTGCTGATCAAAAGGTGTAAACATCATTCAAGAGCGACGCTACAAAGAATGTGATAAACTGTGCAGGAGGAAGAAGGGTCCTCGATAGGAAAGGACGGTCGTAGCATACAATCGAATCGATAATTTCAAATGGAGGCCATCTGCACCTCTTATATCCAGAAGGAAAGCAAAAAACGATCCAAAAATTGAGAGACTCGTAAAATTTCCGAGACTGAAGCCCTCAGTCTGAAGGCTTTATAATTTGTCGGCGCGCGGCGGCGGCGGTTAGTCTTACTGCGAATCACTCATCTTTCTTGTCAAGATCGCCTTCAATACCCATGATGGCAATATGAGCTGCTTAGGCAATGGGAACACGATGAGTTGCGCGCAGTATAGTTTTATCAATTTTGCTTTGTCAAGGCAAGGAACACACGCTGATTAATCAAAATCAATGATGTTGTTAAACACGTTGCAGTTAGCAGTTAATATAATGAGGATAATAATAACAAGGAAGTTACAGCGAAATAACTGCATTCGTTTATATGAAAATGAACCAATGTTACATTTTACCTGAAGCTTTGTGAATGATGTTGTTATCGAGGAAATTTATCGGCATGGAAACCAATTTTTGCTAGACTTATGCATAAAAAGACACGGAAAAATTCACCGGGGTACGGCATAAAGCATCTCTCTGAATCTTTCTCGCGCCGTTGGCAAACACATGAGTTTGCTCGATCTATTATACTGTATGCAAGATATCCATTTTTCAAGCAAAATCTAGGAGCGCCCTAAATTCATGGAAAAAATGAAATTGCTAATTTAACAATTTTGTAGTTAAAAAAAGTGTCCGACGTGTTTCAATGTAGATTTTACAATAAAAACTGCTAGTTAACCTCACCCAGGTTAAATTAGCTTTTCACAACAGTAAAATGTACATTTAAAACATGTCGGACATATTTTTGAACGATTCAATTGTTAAATCAGCTATTTCATTTTTTTCCGTGAATTTAAGGCGCCCCGGGATTCCGCTTGAGAAATAAAACCGTTGCATATATTGCCATACGTTTGCCGCTCTGAAATTGCATTTTTATCAGAATGCAGTTTTTCTCCGGGTTTGAGATCAATTTTAGGGCGAAAAACTGCCCCTACAGGACACCTGTCCTCTTGACAGTTGCAGTCGGGCAACTTAGGAGCGTCGAGTCGTGATATATCGGGGAAGTTTCGGGGAGTTTGGCGAGCCGGAGACGGAGAGATTTATGCACTGGGCAGGGCGGGCGGGGGAGCGGGCGCGGCGAAAGTCGCGGTCACTTTCGGACTCGCTAATCTCTCTTTCATTTCTTGGAGCCGACGCTGCGGACGCTGTGGACGCGAACGCCCCCGTGTATCTGGCCAGCAACATGCCAGCGCACCGCAACATACCGCAACTGCCCAAAAGCTCCCGGGTTAAGTTTTATTAGATTATGAGGCCAGTGATTTATTTGAAAGGCTCTCGCACCGCCTCGCCACCTCCAGCTCCCATCCACTGACGGCATCAACCTCCTGTTCACTTTTTAATCTACTCCACACCNAATTTCGCCCGCTCCTGTTTGCCTTCCCTCGCTAGCCCGCGTAAATCCTCCTTTGTTTGGTCAAACTTGATAAAAGCCTCAAAGTTGCCAAATGACGAGATAAGGAACTTGCAACGTGTGTCGGGAATTTTTCGCTTCAACCGTGTATTGCTACTGATTCTTTGGACCGTTTGCACCACACCATGCTAAATATTGACACCGTTTCAAAATTCGAACGTTCCCAAAATGCCTCTCATGATATTTTATTTGTATTTCATGCACGTATTGATGAAAACGTGAGACGGTGAGGAAAACCGTTGAAAATTTTGCTATATAGCCTCTGTTCATAACTTTC